AATTTTTTTATGTTGAGTTGTATGAGCTATTTATATATTTTGAATATTAACTCCTTGTTGATAAAATCATTAGCAAATATTTTCTCTGATTCAGCTGGTTGCCTTTTTGTTTTGTTGATAGTTTCCTTTGCTGTGCAAAAGCTTTTATGTCTAACTGGGTTCCATTTGTTTATTTCTGCTTTTATTTCCTTTGCTTTACGAAACAGATTGAAGATAATATTGCCATGATTTAGGTCAAAGAGTGTTCTGCCTATGTTTTCTTTGAGGAGTTTTATGACGTCCAGTCTTACATTTAGGTTTTTAATCCATTTTGAGTTAATTTTTGCATATGATGTGAGAAAATATTCTAATTTAATTCTTTAACATGTAACTGTTCAGTTTTTCCAGCACTATTTACTGAAGAGATTTTCTTTTCTCCATTGTATACCCTTGCCTCCTTTGTTATACATTCAGTTCAGTTCAGTTCAGTTGCTCAGTTGTGTCCGACTCTTTGCGACCGCATGAACCACAGTACGCCAGGCCTCCCTGTCCATCACCAACTCCCGGAGTCCACCCAAACCCATGTCCATTGAATTGGTGATGCCATCCAACCATCTCATCCTCTGTCATTCCTTCTCCTCCTGCCTTCAATCTTTCCCAGCATCAGAGACTCTTCTAGTGAGTCAGTTCTTCGCATCAGGTGACCAAAGTATTGGAGTTTCAGCTTCAGCATCAGCCCTTCCAATGAATATTCAGGACTGATTTCATTTAGGATAGACTGCTTGGGTCTCCTTGTAGTCCAAGGGACTCTCAAGAGTCTTCTCCAGCACCACAGTTCAAAAGCATCAATTCTTTGGCGCTCAGCTTTCTTTATAGCCCAACTCTCACCTCCATACATGACTACTGGAAAAACCATAGCCTTGACTAGACAGACCTTTGTTGACAAAGTAATATCTGTGCTTTTTAATATGGTTTCTAGGTTGGTCATAACTTTCCTTCCAAGGAGTAAGCATCTTTTAATTTCATGGCTGCGGTCAATTGACCATAAATGTGTAGATATATTTCTAGGCTCTCTATTCTGTTCTATTAACCTGTGTCTCTGTTTTTATGCCAGTATCATGCTGTTTTGGTTATTGTGGCTTTGTAACAGTTCACAACATCTGATTCTGGTTTTGAGTTGTGATTAGAAAGAGAGTTTCCTCAGGACTTCCCTGGCTTGGGTTTGGTCACTGATCAGGGAACTAGGATCCCATCCCACAATGCCATGTTGTGCAGCCAAGAAAATTTAAAAAAAAGAAAGAAGGAAGGTCTCCCCAAATTCTCTGCCAAGGATTCATCTTCCCTAGGTTTAGTTCTTACCTTAGTGGTCTCAGTAGGAAGCAGAGGACCATTCAAAGCATTTGCCAGAAGGTTGTTTTTTTTAATTTATTATTTTTTTGGAAGGATAATTGCTTTACAGAATTTTGTTGTTTAGAAAAAGGTTTAATGAAGGAACTATTTACAGAGGTGTGGGCACAAATAGTGAAGCACCCTGGGGCTCACAACAGTGGAAGAGAGTCACTAGTCTCAGGGCCTGAAGAGGTAAGGGAGGGAGCCTTGTTAATGAACCTGGCCAGACTCGTATCCATGGATGCAGGCCACTCAACAGGAGCTGTGACTTTTACTGGAGGAACATGCTAAGTCGCTTCAGTTGTGTCTGACTCTGTGCGACCCCATAGACGGCAGCCCACCAGGCTCCTCCGTCCCTGGGAGTCTTCAGGCAAGAACACTGGAGTGGGTTGCCATTTCCTTCTCCAATGCATGAAAGTGAAAAGTGAAAGTGAAGTCGCTTAGTCGAGTCAGACTCTTCGCGACCCCACGGACTGTAGTCTACCAGGCCCCTCCGTCCATGGTATTTTTCAGGCAAGAGTACTGGAGTGGGTTGCCACATAGTACCTACCAAAATCATAGCATCACTGACTCAATGGACATGAGCAAACTCTGGGAGAGAGTAAAGAACAGGGAAGCCTGGCTTGCTGCAATCCATGAGGTCGCAATGTGTTGGACATAACTTAGCAATTGAACAACAACAAAAAATCACAGTATTATAAATATCCCGGTCTCACTCTCCTCCTTCCCTCTGATCCCCTACAATGTCTCCTACTGGCCAAACTTCACCTGAAACCATAAGGCAAGGAGGCCAAGGTCAGTGAGAGTCAGTCCCTGGACACAGGACAGGCAGACAAGCACAGAGAATTCAGGGTATGCAAAGAGTAGGAAGCCAGGGGGGTTCTCTCTTAGTGAACTCGGCTTTGTGGAGGGGCTGAGAGGCAGAGGGCTGTGTTTGTCTCTCTAAGCGGCCTGACACTGTAACACCCCTTCTCTTCCAGGCCCAAGTTACTTTGACCAGGAGGCTGTTCCCAGGCCTGGATTAATCTCTCCCATCCCTGGCTTCCTCAGTTCTCAGTGCCTATCCCATCACTCAGCTCAGTGATTTGGCATTATTCTCCGTAGGGGTTTGTCTCCCCAGGGGACAGTTCTAGCATTCTCTTCACTGTGAGCTCTTTGCAGGCAGGGCCCTGGGCCAAAGAAGTCCATTTGCTCTGACATAGGGCCCAGCACAGGATAAGTGTCCATGTTGGCTGAGTGAATGGAGTCCTGTGGCCTCACCCACCTCCCTCTTCCTTGGTGTACACAGCCTGGGCACACGGGTATATCTGTTTCCTTGAGTTCTTTGGTGGCAAATGACCCAGACCTGGCACACAACAGTCATCAAATGTTGTCTGAACTGGCCTAGGGAGGATTATCCTTCTTTCCTTCATTCATTCAACAAGTTTTTGAGATTTTACCACATACCAGGCCCTGTGCTGGCCCTGGGGACACAGAAGTGTTCTTCCTGCCTTCCATTCTAGTGGGGGAAGCGGAAAAGGAAGGAATGGAAAATGAACAATACTATTAAAGACTGCAGTACGTGTTTAGAAAATAAACAGGGTGACGGGACACACAGTAAATGGATGGACATTTATGTGGGGGATGGGCACATCAGGGAAGGCCTTTCTGAGGTGACGACATGTAAGTTGAGACCTGAAGATGAGTGAATGTGAAGAGCTGGAAGGGTATTTCAGGCAGAGGGAACAGCAAAAACAAAGAGCTAGAGGTGTTTCTGGGACCCCAGGGGATTCAGTGTTTCAGCCTGAAGAAGGGCGTAGGGGGAGGCTGAGAGAGGTTAAGGAATCAGTCCTGGGGGGCTGCCTGGGGCCAGGTCCTGGGCTGGGGGTTGGAGGGGAAGGGACAGCCCTTCTCAGTGCTATCCTTTCTGCCTGTTGCCTAGCACCACACAAAATAGTACTGCTGGCAGACCTTCCCCGAGCTCCCTCAGCTCCCCTCGGACTGGCAGCGGCTGTCAAATGACCAGCCCTGGAGGCCTTGCCAACCTCCTCCCCTGGAATATTTTTGAGGTAAGTCAGAAAATGACCAGCAGCCTCCAAAACCTGACTTTTTCTCGTGCATACCTTACAAGGGTATATTTGGCTGCCCTGGGTGTTAATCCCCCACCCCCTTGCACTAGACAGAGAGATATAAATATACCACCCCAGGCAGCACACTCAGGAACATGGATTAATGACCATATAGTTGGGGGCCCCAGTCACACTCAGAAGACACACCATACAGCTGCTGTAAGCAGCCTCTCCCACACCCACACACTTCAGTCCCCAGTCTCTCGCAGGCACACAATCACACACACAACTATATAGATGCCCCACAACACAGTCACAACAGCCAGCCTCGCAGTCCACAACCAGCACCATCACCACTCTCATAATCACTCCCCTATGATCACACAGTCACCTGCCCATATACAGCCTCACAGACGTGTACCCCACAGTCATCAGAGTCACATGTGAACACAGCAGTTCCACAATCTCCCTCCCCACAAGGTACACACACAACCATGTGGCATGCACACAGCCAGCAGGCCTACAGATCACAACACCCTGGCCCACAAGTGGTTCCACACGGCCGCCCCACCCCCACGCCTTATTCAAGGCCTCTCTGATTAAACACATCCAGCCCCTCGGCTTGTTATAGTGCCTGGCATTCTTCTGCGATTGAGTCAAAGACCTCCCCAGACAGAGGGGCTAAGTGGAAAAAAAGGCATCGGCAGGGAGCATGCCAGAGGCCCAGGTCTGGGAAGGGGCCTGGCCGCTTCCGGCTCAGGGACCCAGACAGCCTTCAGTGTGGAGTTTGATCCTGACCTTTGGGGGGCTAAGGACCTGGGGGAGGGGTCACGCCTAGGAGTGGACAGAAGCGGGGTGCAGGGGGGGTGATGACAGGTGGAACGAGCGGAGAGATCCCCTAACCCTCACGGCGTGAGCGGGGGGAACAGAAATCGGGGTTACATATGGACTCAACCTTCCCACGTGGTCCTGCCACCGCCCTGCCCCAGGCTCCCGACTGTCCCCAAACGCAGGGGGTGTGGCGTTGTCCCCCCCCTCCTCCCCCCAGCCCTGGGCGACAGCTGCGGGGGCATAGCGCTCAGGCGAGGGGGTTACCGCAGGGCGCCAGGCGGCGGCGGACACCCCCGACCTCCTTGCGGGCGGAGCTCAGGCTGTCGGCTCCCCTGAGGTCCTCAACCCCACACCCTGTCCCCTTCCCGGGCCGGCCCGGCAGGAAGAGCGCCCTCCTAAGGCTGCAGAGCCACCTTCCTCCCCGGGCCCCTGCAACTGGGGACACTCGGACGGGAAGGATGGGGAGAAAGAAGACTCGGGAAGACCCCGAGGTGGCGTTTTAGAGACGCCGACCTCCCCTCCCACACCTTCCCCCCCACCCCGCGCTGGTCCCGGGAGGGGCGGCCTCTCCCCGCCCCCGGGCCGCGAGGCCCGCTCCCTCCTCCCGCGGCCGGAGCCTGGGCCAAGTGGGCGCGCCCGGCCCCGGGCCGGCGGATCCGGTGTCGGCTGCAGCTGGCAGTGCGGCTGGCGGGCGCGGGCGGCCCGTGGGGCCGACTATTAATACCGCGGCCGCCCAGGCCGGGTAGCGCAGCCATGGCCAGCCCGGAGCCCCGGCGCGGCGGGGACGGCTCCGCCCAGGCCGCGAGGTAGGAAAGGACCTTCTCAGGCCCGGGTGACCACCCCCTCCTGGGGAGGGGGTGCTGGGCGGATCCCTTCTCCCCAAGAGCGCCTTTCGGCAGACGGGGGCGGTGGTCCTGGCGGGGGTGGGGCACAGGACGGAGCCACCCGCCAAGGGTGATAGGGGAGCCTGGCCGGGGCGAGGCGGGGGCCGGGGGTTCCGACACCTCTGCCGGTATGGGGGCTTTTCATAACTTCTCCTCCCCTCCCACGGGCGATGTGAGGATTAACCCCTTCACACTAGCCGGCATCAACCATCAGATGCCGGATGGCCCATAGTGGCCAAAGACCCTCCCCATTTTCTTTCCTTCCTCACCCCAAATGCAGCTGGACATGGAGCCCTCCAAGTCGCTGAACTGGCCGTGTGGAAGAGACTTGGTGCAAGGTTGGGCGGCTGCCAGCTTGGAGTTGAGAGTCTGTTCAGGCAGCTCATTCTCTCTGGTCTGGGGCCTGGGAGGGCGTCGGGGGAGGGTCCCCAATCCCAGACCAGCAGCAGGGCCTTGGCTGGCCAGGGGCCCTGGAGGGGAAGCCCTCTCCATCATCCGCACTATCAGCTTGCCCCTGATGAGGGGGAAGGGACCTGTGGCTGAAGGATTTGGGGGAGTAAGGAACGTTTCTGCCCCAGGTCAGCCTGTAGCCCTGGACTTCCTCTTGTATCAAGAGGTGTAAGTGCAGTCACACACACCTGTCACCCCTTCCCTGTCACCACCGCACGAAGCTGAGCCGAGTTTCACACATGCACTCACCTGTAGTGTTGTATACAGAGCCAGCCACACACCAAGCCAGGCCTGCGTGGTGTCACAAAGACGCCCAAGCGCAGTCCTGATGGCCGGGGTTGGGAGATGCTGGGATCCTACAGCGGCACGGACAGAGTGGCAGAGGCAGGCTGCTTGGAGCCCAAGGAGGCCGGGGGTCAGGGGCCCCAGCCGAGCTGGCTGCCTTGCCCCTAGACCTCCTGTAGTCTGCTTTAAAAAAACATTTATATATTGGGCTGCCTTGGGTCTTAGTTGCAGCATGTGGGATCTTCATTGTGTCGTGTAGGCTCAGTAGTTATGGAGCTCTCTAGTTGCAGCACGCAGGCTTCATGCTCTATGGCATCTTTCATTAGGGGAGCTGTAGTTCCCAGCCAGGGCTTCCTGGTGGCTCAGCGGTGACAAAGTAGGAGATATGGGCTCAATCCCTGGGTCAGGAAGATCCCCTGGAGAAGGAAATGGCAATCCACTTCAGTATTCTTGTCTGGGAAATCCCAAGGGCTGGAGAGCTGGGTGGGCTACAGTCAATGGGATCTCAAAAGGGTTGGACACAACTTAGCGACTAAACAACAACAAAGTTCCCCAACCAGGAATCGAACCTTCATCCCCTGCATTGCAAGGCAGATTCTTAACCACCAGACCACAGGCAGGTCCCCCCACAATCTACTTTTTCCCAGCTCTTTAGAGAGAGGCAGCTGAGTGAAGGCAGCACCTAGCAGAGGCCTAGCACTGCGGGGGAGGTGACTGAGGCAACACGGTGTGTGGGAACAGCACTGCCTGCAAGTCAGGAGACCTGGACTCTACATCCAATCCTGCCACTTGACCTTGGGCAAGTTTCCTCCTTGGAGCTCAGTCAGTTGCCGCTGCCTACATCCACAGAGCCCCGCCCTGGGATACAGAGAATAACTGTGCTTGTCGTTAGGAAACGGACTATCAGGGGAGACCGACAGATGCACTTCTGGAACGCAAAGCACTTAGTGCAAAGATGAGCTGCATATAAAGTGCCTTGAGAACACAAGAATGGGAGTCAGCTGGGAAAGGCTTCACAGAGGAGGTGGGGTTCCAGCAGGATTTGAAAGATGAGTAGAAATTTATTAAGTAAATAGATATAAATATATTTTGAATGCTAGGGCCAAGCTCTGTTATACCTGCTGTATCTGTTAGACCTAACACCTATTCTATCTAAGACGAGAGTGGTAAAAAGGAGCCGTGGCTCTAGAGCCAGACTGCCAGCCTTCAACAGGCTCTACCATGTATAAGTTGTAGAACTCTTGAGTGAATTCTTTATTTGGTGCTTTTTGGTTTCCTTATCTATAAATTGGGATAAATCCTATAGGTCAGATGTAAAGAATCTACCTGCAATGCAGGAGACCAGGGGTTCGATCCCTGGGTCAGGAAGATCCCCTGGAGAAGGAAATGGGAATCCACTCCAGTATTTTTGCCTGGTGAATTCCAAGGATAGAGGAGCCTGGCGGGCTACAGTCCATGGGGTCACAAAGAGTCGGACATGGCTAAGTGACTAACACACACAAGTGAGCGTCATATAAATGAGTATTTATGGAGAATGCTTAGAATACTGCCTTGAATGCAGTTACATCATTCCAGGGTGGAGGACTCAGCTGGAACATGACGTGAGTGCAGTCTGCTGGCAAAGCTGGGACTCTGTTGAGGATCTGGGTAGGTCTGGCTGGCTGAACAGGTGCATCCTTCTTGGTGCGAGGAGATCCACTTTTCCAGGCAGTGTAGGACTCCTCTCTAGACAGGCAGTATACAATGAACTATATGCTCCCAGCTGGACCCTTTAGACATTGTGGGGTAGGAGTGGGAGGTATAAAAGTTAACACGTGTTCTGAGGGACTTCCCTGGTGGTTCAGTGGCTAAGACTCCCAGTGCAGGGGGCCCGGGGTTCAATCCCTGGTCGGGAAACTAAATCCCACATGCAGCAACTAAGAGTTCACATGCCACAACTGAAAGGTTCTGTGTACACAACTAAGACCCAGCATAGTCAAATAAATAAAAATAAATATAAGTAAAGTTAATTCATGTTCCAGAAAGTCAAGCATTGGGTGGGCCGTGGGGAGTAATTCAAGATGAGGCTGAAAAGTTATATTGGGGCCACATCTTGAAGGGCCTGGAATCTGTGCGAAGCAGTTCACTCTCTGTGGGTGAAGTGGATCAAGATGGTTTGCTTTATATTAGAGCAAGTTGCAGCATTGTCAAAGCTAGACTGGGATAGGAAAGAAGGCTTATGGGAAGGCTGGTACAAGAGTGCAGGTGATGTATGGTGATGGATGCTGACTAAATTAACTGTGGTAATCATTTCATGATATATACAAATATTCAATCATCATATTGTATACCTAAAATCAATATAATGTTATATATCAATTATACCTCAATAAAAATAATGACATACAATAGAAAAAAAAAAAAGAGTGCAGGTGAGGGGTGATGACTTGGCTGAGGGTCCTGGCAGTGGGCTGAAGAGGAGGATGGAGCCTGGAGACCTTCTGAGATAGAAATATCAGTTTTTAGTGAGTGGGCTGTTAAAAGACCACTTGTCTAAAAAAAAAAAAGACCACTTGTCTATCGACAGAAGTATGGATAAAGAAGATGTGGTACATATATACAATGGAATATTACTCAGCCTTAAAAAAAGAATGAAACAATGCTATTTGCAGCAACATGGATGGACCTAGAGGGTGTCATACTGAGTGAAATAAGTCAGAGAAAGACAAATATCATATGATATCTCTCACACGTGGCTCTTAAAAGAATGGTACAAATGAACTTATTTACAACATAGAAATAGAATCACAGATGTATGAAACGAACCTATGGTCACCAGGGGGGGAGGCAGGAGGAGGGATAAATTAAAGATTGAGATTGATGAATACACACTACTATATATAAAATAGATAACTAAGAAGGACCTACTGTAGAGCACAGGGAACTGTACTCAATACTCTGTAATGGCCTATATGAGAAAAGAATCTTAGTAAAGTGGGTCTCTCTCTCTCTCTATATATATATATATATATGTAAATAGATGTATAACTGATTCATTGTGCTGTACAGTAACACAACACTGTAAATCAACTATATCCAATAAAAAAATTAAAAAAATACAACACTGATATACAGCCTGATATATAGTGATATATTTCTCTGAGCTGGAGAATACAGGTGTAACAAGCTCAGAGAGAAGGATAATTTGTTGGCAGTTGAGTCTGAGGTGCCAAGTAACTTCAGGTGTTACTTGGCACCTGATGCTTGGCACGTTAGGTGAAGATACCTGAAAAAAAAAAAACAAAACACCACTCCATGTCTGGTAATGGGAAGTAAATGAACTAGGTGATCGTTGAGTTGTCTTCAAGCTTTAGGTTTTGCTGGAGGTGCTGGGATTGAATGAGGCCAGTGATGTCTGGGGCCTGGTGAAGCCACACCTGAGTGCCATCAGGGGGTTACAAAAGGGAAGCCAGGGATTCCTGGGGTGTAGAGAGGAGGACTGAGAACACAATGATTTAGAATAAAAATAGTCTTTATTGGGAACATGAAGCTGAGAAACAGAGCTTAAAACCTGGACACAAGTAAACCTTTCTAATACAAATCAAATTCTTTGTTTGATGTGTGAGTCTTTTCATTTACACTTTCTATCCAAAAAATTTTTTAATTCAAATTTAGTCTTTTATAACTGGCACTCTCTGAGTTTTGTTGAACAAATTACTTAATCTCTTTAACCTCCATTTCCTGATCTGTAAAATGTGAATAATAAATGTAACCACCTCATAGAATTGTTATGAGGATTAAATGAATCGATATATGTAAAGCGTTTAGAACAGGGCCTGGCACATATAACAGGACCTTTAAAAGTGTAATTTATTATTATTATTTCCAGAGTATTTTATATTTTCAAAGAATTTCTCAGAGATCCAAGGTAAGTAAGGTGCATTTGAAACAGAAAACACTAAAACCACTTGAGGGCCAAAGCAGCAGGAGAGCATTCCTCAACAGGAACCGAGAAAGCTAGCAGGCAGCTGGAGCTGGGTTAAGGGGCTCATGTGTTAGAAGCGCAGAGTCTGAATTCAAAAGCATCTGACAGGCTGGAAGGATGGACCAGTTCTAAGATGAGGTTTTATAGGAACAAGAGATATGGTTTTAAAGCACTTGCTGTGAAAAACTCTTAAGGATTTTACTCAAACTCAGCATTTATGAGGAATATGAGGGACTTTCCTGGTGACAATTGGTTAAGATTCCACACTTCCAATGCAGGAGGCACAGGTTTGATCCCTGGTCAGGGAACTAAGATGCCACATGCTACATGGTGTGGTCAAAACAAGAATATGATAGAGCTGCCCTATATGTTAAGGGCATCTTGACTACGTCAGTAGGAATATAGGATCCAGAGAGTCACTGCTCAGAGTACATCTGGACTCTGCTTCCTATACTCATCCCCAAGGGATAATGAATCTGTCAACTTAGAACCTGTAAAAAGTAACCCAAATGAGGAGGGTACTGGAAACCTTGGCATGCATGGAATACTTTAGGATAAATCAGTTCTCTTTATTTTATTCGTTTGTGGCTGTGCTGGGTGTTTGTTGCTATGTATAGACTTTCTCTAGTTGTGGCCAGCAGGGGCTACTCTCTAGTTGAGGTGTGTGGGTTTCTCATTGCAGCAGGTTTCAGTAGTTGTGGCATGGCATGTGGAATCTTCTCATACCAGGGATTGAACCTACATCCCCTGCATTGGCAGATGGATTCTTAACCACTGGATCACCAGTGGTTGTAGTCCCTCTTTATTTTTTAAATATTTATTTTATTGAAGAGTAGTTGATTTGCATTGTTGTGTTAATTTCTACTGCACAGCCAAGTGATTCAGTTATATATATATACTTTTTCATATTCTTTTCCATTATAGTTTATCACAAGATATTGAATATAGTTCCTTATGCTATACAGTAGGACTAAATCAGCTCTCTTTAAGTGTTCAAAGAACTGATATGGAAAAGAAATTAGTGTCTGATTCTAGAAAGAAGAATCAAGTCCAGGTGAAAACCGTGGGCAAGATTTTACCTCAACACTAGAATTTTCTTCTGGTAATGGAACACAGAGTGGCTCAGGTGTGGTTTCCTGTCCTTTGATGATTTGTAAGCAGAGACTCAACACTTACCTCATGGGGATGGTGTCAGATCTAAGCAATGGGCTGTGTTGTGGTGGACTGATGGAGGGAGGGGGCAGACACCTGCCCTCGGAGATGTGAGAATTTGCTACAAGCTAGGCTTGTGTGTCCTGGCGGCTCGTCACAAACCCTCCCAGGACTGTGACTGCCCTCTCATCTTGTCATTTCTCTTGCAGGGAAACAAGACCAGAGTTCATGTCTCCTCTTCAAGAGGAGAACTCTGCATCCCTGTATCAGCTGGGGACCTGGAACCCAGAAGTTACTCTGTCTTTGGAGGGGACCTTGAACTTAGAGGACATTCTCTACCTGGGGGACACAGGTGACCTTGATGAGGCTCTGTACATGGAAGAAACTGAACCGCAGGAGGAGACGCTGCACATTGAGGAAACCAGGACGCCGGATGAGGCCCTGTACCTGGAGGAGCCAGTGAGGCCAGAGGAGGCTTTATGTGTGGAAGAGCCGGTGAAGCCGGAGGGGGTGTTAAATGTGGAAGAGCCCGTGAAGACGGCAAGCCCAGAGCAGATCGTTTATGGGGGAGACACGGTCCTGAGCGAGGAGAAGTCTAACCCCAAGGAGAGCCTCCTAGCCAGGCCGAGTCCCAGCACAGAGGGGAGCCTGAGCATAGAGGACCTGGAATTGCTGGAGGGGCGTTTCCAGCAGTGCATTGAAGCCGTGGCGCAGCTGGAAGAGGAAAGGGATCAACTCATCCATGAGCTTGTGTTGCTCCGGGAGCCCGCCCTGCAGGAGGTGCAGCAGGTCCACCGGGATATCCTGGCCGCCTACAAACTGCATGCCCAGGCAGAGCTCGAGAGGGATGGGCTGAGGGAGGAGATCCGACTGGTCAAGCAGAAGTTGTTCAAGGTGACCAAGGAGTGCGTGGCCTACCAGTACCAGCTGGAGTGCCGCCGGCAGGACGTGGCCCAGTTTGCTGATTTCCGGGAAGCGCTGACCACCCGGGCGGCCCAGCTCTCAGAGGAGCTAATCCAGCTCCAGGAGGCCTATCAGAAGCAGGAGGAGCAGTTACGGCAACAGCTCGAAGCACCTCCGAGTCAGAGGGATGGGCACTTTCTCCAGGAGAGCCGACGGCTCTCTGCCCGGTTCGAGAGCCTCATGGCAGAGAGCCGCCAAGGCCTGGAAGAGGAGTACGAGCCTCAGCTGCTGCGGCTCCTAGAGAGGAAAGAAGCTGCGGCCAAAGCTCTGCAGAAAACCCAGGCCGAGATCCAGGAGATGAAGGAGGCCCTGAGACCACTGCAGACACAAGCCCAGCAGCTCCACCTGCAAAACAGGAACCTGGAGGACCAGATCACCCTTGTGAGGCAAAAACGGGACGAGGAGGTGCAGCAGTACCGGGTAGGCCCACTGGGCATGGGAGGAAGGACAGTCTTTTAGTTTAGGGAGGAAAAGGGGACTGGGCCAAATGTCTGTGGGCTGAAGGATGCTAGCATATGTAAAGTGAAGTCGCTTAGTCGTGTCCAACTCTTTGCAACCCCATGGACTGTAGCCTACCAGGTTCCTCTGTCCGTGGAATTTTCCAGGCAAGAGTACTGGAGTGGATTGCCATTTCCTTCTCCAGGCGATGTTCCCGACCCAGGGATCGAACCCAGGTCTCTGGCATTGCAGGCAGACGCTTTACCGTCTGAGCCACCATGCTAGCACATGTGGGAAGAGCAATTTGTTCCATGGGCCAGTCACTCGCTTCTTTAAGCCATTTTCCATTTCATTCATTCAGGCTTGCTAGGGCTGACAGTTACTTGCACTCTTAGTTTCCATGACACTTTTACACCAATGATCTTCTTTAATCCTCCAAGTCAACTATTATCATTTTTCCTAGATGAGGAAACTGAGGCCCAGTGAGTCTGAGCAATTTGAACTCTAGTCTGACCAACCCCAAATATTTAAGTGCTCTTTCCACAGCACCATTTTCCGATTCTGAGTGAATCGCCCTTGGGTTTAGATAGAGCAGGAGGGAATGAGGCCAGATAGAATTCATTCTCTCCCCTCCCTGGTATTCACTCTCAAGCCCCACCTATCTGATCTCTGTTTTGAAGTTTTCCAGTCTTAAAAAGCTGGGATGAAATCTATAAACCTCTATCCCTCCTTTTCCTTTTTTGTGCATTTGTCACCATTTCAATCGTATTCAAGCTATTTCTGATTGTGAGCCAGTCCTAATCCCTTTTAGAACAAAATGGGATCTAAACACTAAGTGCATAAACAGTTCTTTCTCCCCCACAGACCAAGCTTTCAGAAGGTAGGGAGTATGTTTTACTTATCTCTGCCACCAGGCTCAGAGTATGCATCAGTTAAGTGCTGACTTCCTTGCTGCTGGGCGCCATAAGACCACACTGTGATGCTTTTCACAACAGTATTTTTGTCTTTTGAAACACACGTTTTTTTGGATGAACTTAAAAATCCAAGAGATTAACTTATCCATAAGGAATATGTCCTCTGTTGAAAATGGCTGCATTCACTTCACTGAAGATTTTGTCAAGCTTTCTATAGCTTATATTATTAAAACAATAGGGTTTTGGGGTCATAGTATTGAATGCCTTCAAACTATAAGTATTTACTCACCCAACACTGACCCCCACCTCCACTGCACTGTTTTTTTACTGGGTCATAATCTAGTGAAAGGGTGCTAATTATTTTTGCATAAACAAATACTATTCTTAACAGCTGATACTCAATCAGATGTTACTTTAATAACTGTAACGCAGGGTAGAAAGTAACATGTGATTTAAGAGAGGTACAGATAAGAGTGCTATGGGATAATGAGATTATTTTTAGCCATGGATTAAATCAGAGAACCTGTAACAGAAGACAGTGTTATTTAAGTACTGAAGTATAGGCAAGATCTAGACCAGTGCTGTCCAACATAAATATAAAGCAAGCCTCAAATACCATTTTAAATTTTCTAATAGCCACATAAGAGAAATAGGTGAAGGTAATTTTAACATATTATTTAATCCAATAGATATAAAAATATAATTAGTAACTTGGCTGCAGGCAAAAGGTGAAAAACTGAGAGGTGAGTTGAACTGTGAAGGTAGGTCAGGGCAGATCCTATTAGACTTTAAAATCCAGCCTAGGGAATTTGGACTTTATTCAGTGGTCAGTTGGCCCCTTCAAGATATTTAATCAAGGGATTAACATGATCCTCGCTCTTTTTTTAGTTAAAAAATTACTTTTGGCTACACTGGGTCTTCGGTGCTGCATGTAGGCTTTCTCTAGTTGTAGTGAGCAGGGGCGACTCTAAATTACGGTGGAGATCCTTGTGGTGGCTTCTCGTTTGGGAGCGCAGGCTCTAGGCCCAAGGGCTTCAGTAGTTACGGCTCTTGGGCTCTAGAGCAGGGCTCAGGAGTTGTGGCCATGGGGACAGTTGCTCTGAGCCTGTGGAATCTTCCTGGACCAGGGCAGGCAGATTCTTAACTACTTGACCACCAGGAAGTCCCCCTTGCTCTCCTATTAGAAACATTATTGGTGGCAGTGTGTAAAATGGGCTAGAAACGAGAGGCAAGGGAGACTGATTAGGAACTACTACAGGTAAGAGGGAACAATGGTAGCAAAATAAAAGGGAAGCAAGAATGAACATAGGATAATTCTGACTACAGAATGAGCGGGGCAGAGAGGTGAGAAGTCAGAAGATGCTTAGATTTCAGACAAGGCTAACTCACATGGTGATGCACTAAGTAGAGAATCCTTGGGATTAGAATTTCCTTATATAGTGTTAGAATTCTAGAACTGTTTCCCCAGTGATTTGCATCACTATACTGGATTTGTTTCAGATTTGATTATCTGTCCAGCTTTCCAAAGATCACTCTATGAGAAACAACCCTGATGAAAGTCTATTTCTATACCACAATTAAAGTAGGAAAAAAGGTCTGAAAGAGATAATTCTTCTTTCTGAAATGACTTCTTCCTAAGCTGTTTGCCAAAGGCCATGTATGGCATCTGATTACTTTTCAAGGGTACACCTCACACTGGTGACTTTAAATTTGCTTTCATCACTATCACCCATTCATTCAACAAATATTTAGCCAATTTTTTTTTTGTGTGCCAGGCAGTGAGCTATGTGCTGGCAAGAGACGCAAACTCGTGGTAAAGGGTAGGGGTGGCGGACAATCACGGTCCTCAAAAAGTTTATAGTTCAATTAAAAAATAATAATAAACAAAAAAAGAGAACCAAAAAGAAAAAATTAGTGATAAAAAAGTTTATAGTGCAGGAAGGATATGATAAAACTTCCTAAAATCTAAGACCTCCTGATCTAAGTATGTATATAAAGTGTGAGTTTTAAAATCAATGAAATAATTAACATGCTTCAATGTGATAGACAATGTAATAGTTGTAGGAATAAAGCATTGTACTGATGAAGCAGGTATAATTACCCTTGGGGAAATAAGGGGGAAATTTCATACGAGGATTAAAAATAGCTAGTGTATAATTGAAGTTCTTTACATGTAATAATTCATTTAATTCTTACCTCTGAGATAGGTATAACTATTGTCACCATTTGAGAAACAAGTAAACAAGTGAGTCAGAGAAGTCATTTGTCCAGGGTTACACAGCTAGGAAGGGATGGAGGTGGGATGTAACCCTGGGAAATCCAGTTCAAGTTCACACTACAAAGTGTTTGAGCTGAGTCTTAAAGAATGAATTCACTGTGTCGACAAGGGACAAAGACCATTCTAGGCCAAGGGAACAGCTCATAAAGCATGAAAACACAGACATGTTATGGGAAGTGTAACTGGACCATAACAAATCTGAGAAGTGGATGAGGCTGGAGAAGTAGCATGGGACCAGATTGTAAAGGGCTTTATGTATTCTTTAGGTCAGTGGTTTTCCTAAAAAGGTTTTCTTCAAAGCAACAGACTCTTTCCCCAAAACAATGTTATATGGAATGGCAACATGTAAACATAAAAAAAACAGGTAAAAGTAGAGCTACTAACTAAAGAGTGAAGTACACTCCAGCCTCCTCCTGGGGTTTCATGGAAAAGTTTGAAGACCATTTAAGAGTCCACCTATCTATGTATCTGGACTTCCCAGGTGGAGCTAGTGGTAAAGAATTCGCCTAGATATTAAAAGACGTAGGTCAAGAAAATCCCCTGGAGGGCATGGCAACCCATTCCAGTATTCTTGCCTGGAGAATCCCATGGACAGAGGAATCTGGCAGGCCACAATCCATAGGGTCGCACGCTACTGAAGCAATTTAGCACCCATGCATCTATATTATCTATCTCTACTTTTGTATCTATTTATGTGAAGGCAATAAAGCAACTGTTAAGAGTGTAAGCTCTAAATTAATGGCAAATCCTGGCTCTACCACTAACTGGGAAACCTTGGATAAATTACTGAAATTGTGGTTCAGCTCCTTCACATGTAAAATGGGATTAATGGGTCTGCTGCAAGGAATGAGCTTGTTAATAGTATCTGTAAAGCACTTCTAATGGTGCACTGTAAGTGGCAGTGTGGAGGGCAGATTGAAAGAGCCTGGAAAGACCACTTAGTGGGAGAGGAGAGAGATGTGAGGTAAAATGGGCAGAATTTTGGTGACTGGTTGCAGGGGGTGGGGTAAGTTTGCTAAGAATGATCAAGTTTTTACCTTGAAGTTGGAAGACTTCTAGTGCCAATAGATGGAATATGCTTACTATCTGCATGCTTCACATCAATAAGCATTATATGGAGGGTGCCAGACATACTAAGATCTAAGCACCTACAGTCTGATTGGGAGTTAAAGATCCCACATGCCAGGCAGTGTGGCCATAAGAACAAAACAAAACAAAAGCCACGTGTAGCTAATGACTTCCATACTGGACAGTGTAGACTAGAGGAGTAATGGAGGTCCTAGTTAGAAGTGAGGGTCAAACTAGCAGGAGTCTGAATGCCAGACTAAAGAAAGCCTATGAAAGACTGAATGATAAAATGTGGGGTTTTTTTGGCCATGTGAGACCTTAGTTTCCTGACCAGGGATTAAACTCGTGCCCCTCTGCAGTAGAAGCACAGTCTTAACCACTAGACCACCAGGGAAGTCCTGATAAAGCAGTTTTTAAAATTAACCCAATGATGCTACATAGGATTAAGAATGGAGACTGTCCTTCATTTCTGTCACTGTAGTAATACTTCATTCTGTGACAGCGTCTCCCTGTCAAGAGCTTATCAGTGACAGTACAGATTGTCTTTACAAGCATGTTCTTTTGTATATCCAGCAAATGACAGGTTTACTAGATAGCAAGGCTTGGGAAACTGGGGCACAGAGGTATGCATATGCTTCTAGATAACATGCTTAGATGGTAAGGCCCCATCTCTGCATGGTGCCAAAGTATGGTTATGTGTTGGATGGAGCTCAGTCATATTTGACTCTTAGTGACCCCAGGGACTATAGCCTGCCAAGCTCCTCTGTCCATGGGATTTCCCAAGCAAGAATACTGGAGTGAGTTTCCTACTCCAGATCTTCCCAACCCAGGGATCAAACCCGAGTTTCTGAGTCTTCTGCATAGGCAGATGGATTCTTTACTACTGTGCCACCTGACTAGGCACTAAAAAAAGACCTTTGAACAATGATGAAAGCGGAGATTCAGCTACAGTATCGAACACTGCAGACTGACATGCCTTAGGTATACCAAGGATGACTCGGAGAACAATTTAGAACATGATTCCCTGTTGGCTCAGTTGGTAAAGAAACCCCCTGCAATGCAGGAGACACAGGTTCAATCCCTGGGTGGGGAAGATCCTTTGGAGAAGGAAGTGGCAGCCCACTCCAGTATTCTTGCTGGAAAGTCCCATGGACAAGGAGCCTGGTGTGCTACAGAGCCCATGGTGTTGCAAACAGTTGGACAAAAGCCATCAAGAGTATGTGCCCAAACTGGATTCCAATTCTTCAAAACCTGAAATGAAGTCACTGCCCCTTAAAAATATGCCTTCCAATTTCAGCACTCCCTTTCCTTCCCAACTCCCCCATGCTTTCCGAGGATCCACACCAGCTAGCAGCCAAGCCACAGGCTGACGTGCTGACATCTTCCTTAACATCATTCCGCAGACATTAATCTGCAGAGAAAATTTGTAGAATGATCCCGCCTGGTTTTGGCATAATGGGAAAGTTATCTGAGACCCAAGAGCCTCCAGGGCATAGCACCTTCATTTTCCAAATTAGCACTTTAGAACAAATTGCCCTGATATAATAAGCAAAGGATACAGGAAATTAACAACTATGATACCCTCATTAATATAGCACTTACCTGCATGTCATGTTGTGGTAAGTACTAAGTAAAGCTATGTCTGACTTCAAGGAGCTTCAAATACAGTTATTCAAAGATACCTGCTTACAGTTGTAGGGTACTATAAAAATTGATTATCTTAATGGAAACAAACCTGCACATTAAGATTCTATAAAAATTCTTAGTTCACCAATTAGGTGGTCAAAATCCTCCCCCATACTTCAGGCAAGACTGCTTTTGGGTCACCATTTTCAAAAACATCAAAACATGTTCTCTGAATCTCATTTTCTCAATCTCAACACTGCTATGGAAGTTAAATAGTGTGTAAAGAAATGCTTTATAATGGACGTCAGGTTTTTATTGTTTGGCTCATTAGAGATGTGCTTGGCCCTCATGCAGGAACAGCTGGAAGAAATGGAAGAACGACAGAGGCAGCTAAGAAGCGGGGTGCAACTCCAGCAACAGAAGAACAAAGAGATGGAGCAGCTAAGAGTCAGCCTTGCTGAAGAGCTCGCAACTTACAAGTCAGTTTTTGCTGCTCCCCAAATCCCAACCAACACTGGCTGAGGGGATGGTGGGGAGGGCAGATGCTGTTCATGAGAAATTTCTCTTGACAGTGAAAAGCAGAAAAAAAAAATTGGGGGAAACTGTCAAATTGTGCTCATCCATGAACAGAAGGAAAATGGTTTGTTTTTTTTTTTGAAGGGCTATGCTACCTAAGAGCCTGGAACAGGCTAACGCTCCCACTTCTGAGGCAGGTGGAATCGAGACACAGTCTCAAGGTGATACTTGTGGTTACAAGACTGGTGTCTGCCTTGCTGTCGCTTTCCTAACAAGACTAATGCTTCAAAAAAAAAAATTGTCTAATAACAAATTACATCATCTAGGAATAACAGGAGGACACATACCTCCAAGTTGCCTGGTTCAAGTATTCAGGCTTCCTTTGCAATGTTTCAATTTCTAGTAGGACTTAAAACACGCCAATTGTCACCAGGAAATCCGGAACCGGATAAAACATCTAGGCTCTATGCATTCTCCCTTTCCTCACCCTACCTGACCCCATCTGCTATTCATAAACAGTTTCCTTAGAATAGCAGAGAGGGCAGTTAGGACATCTAATTCAGACTATGACTAAGAAGGCCAAGAAGGCTAAAGTAACCTGTTAACAAGTCATTTAAAAATCTGAAGAGGGTGTTGTTTATAGACCAAAGGACATGATTATTGCTTAGTTTGTGAAACAAGCAACATACCTATCCAGTGATTCTTTACATTCCAATATGTCCTCATATTCTATAAAGTCCTAGATTCTCTTGGATAGACACTAAAGATTAAAAAAGATGAAACTGGGTACTAGATTAAGTCCCTAAATTTTTACTAATTTCCTAGTTAATCCTACACATCTTGGATACAAATTCATAACTATTGTAACTGATGCTTTTCCTAAATTACTAGGTTTTTTTTTTTTTTTTTTTGCTCCTCTCAGTTTGCAAGAGTTCCCGACTAAGGATTGAACCCCAGCCACGGCAGTGAAAGCACCGAATCTTAACAACTAGACCACCGGGGAACTCCCATACTAGAATTTTCTTCTACCATGTTTTATCCAGGCGTAACAGACCATGCTTATTGTTTGAGATTACTAGAACCCTGTAAGTGAAGAAAACAAGCTGCTAAACACCTTTGTGTGGATCAGATGAAAAGTACAACTGGGAGAAGGGAATGATTAATCCAAAGAATCAAAACTACAGAATTTCAGATCTTGTAATACCTGTGTAAAGTTAATGTGGGCAGATGAAATTTTTAGCGAGCCCCTACCAAAGTCATCCCTGATTAGATGCAAATCACTCTAGTAAGCTCTCCCTAACATATCTGCACTAAGCTTCAGAAATTCATTGTTAAAAACTTTATACTGGGAATTCCCATGGTGGTCCAGTGGTTAGGACTCAATGCTCTGGGGCCTGGTCAATCCTTGGTCAGGAAACTGAGATCCTGCAAGCCACACAGCGCAGCCAAAAAAAAAAAATCCACAAAAACTTTATTATATACTGTATTATTTTAAGTTGCAAAATTTAAACTTATCCTTTTCTCTCTCAACCTTACAGGGGCTGTTTAGAAACATACTGCCGAATATGTAACCAAGAAACAAAAAAAACTTCTTAGCAAAGGATCACTAAGTACCCTCTGGACATACTTTTTTCTAAACAGAGAAGGGAGTGTCATGGATTTGGCAAGCAGTTCTCTCTGGGAAAGTTACAAATACTGGCTGACCTGTTTAAAAGATTCTAGGGCTGGCTGGAGGCAGAATACTGTCAGTCCACTCTTAGCTGTATTCTATTTCATGTTACTGGTACTGATCTTAATGCACTGAGGAATGGAAAAATGAGACTCCTGTCAGCCATCAGCAACCTTCCACAGGCACACCGAGTAAAGGATGAATGTATGGACACTCTAGTATTGTGAAAAATGTACCTTGCCTTGTGTTGACCCAAACCAGAAAGTTTTTCGGGAACACAGGTGAAGTAAAAAAGGTACCCTATTTTCATTACAGTTGACTCTTGAACAATGTGGGGCTTAATCTGCACATTAACTTAGTTGGCCCTCTGTATCAAAGATTCCTTCACCTCTGTGGATTCTGTTATTTACTACTGAAGAATATCTGTGTTAAGTGGACCTGTGCACTTCAAACCCATGTTGTTCAAGGGTAAACCGTATATGGTTTACAATCTGGATACTTTTGTGCCGTGAGTGTTATACTTTAACTGAATTCCTTTACAAAGTTTTTAAATCTATGCTGATTCATGTAGGTTTACTCTTGTGTCAAGGTATTTTCACTATACTCTAGAACTACTACTCACTTAAAAACAAAAAAGAACCAATCCAGCTTCCCCAAAATATCTTACCTTATGAAAATGATTTTGGGTGAGAGTGATCTATTCAGTTAGACTGGGTGTTTGGCAAAGAACCAAGCATTTTATCTGGTTATGGTACTTGGCTTTCAAGAGCCTACTTTTTTAACCTCTAAGTACAGGCCCCAGTGAAATACACACTGAGGAGATTCATCCTCTATGAGAAAAGGTCAAACACCTTTTCAAAATTTAAATTTTGCCTTAAATTCTCTCTGCCACACTGCCTCTAACATTCTTGAAAGTTCATGTGGTTCTCTAGAGATAAGATTTCAAAAAGATGTTATTTTACCAAAGCCTAATCTGTACACCTGATGAAGGGTTTTATGTCTTTCACTTCCCCTGGGAAGGAGTAAAGCTCTTTTCTATACCTCTGGGTCTACTATATTTAATTCTGCTCTTGGTAGTCAAAGACCACAGAAAATAACTGTCATCTGAACAACTCTTCTCGAAGCCAGAAGCCAGAGACTGGTGTTTGATCAATAATTGTACACTAAATAAAACCCATCAGCATGGGGTTATGTAGAAAAGCAATTTATTCCATTATAAGCACTTACACAGTTAGTCAAGGAGAGTAACAGGCCTGCTGGTGAAACAGGTCACCCAAAATAGAGATGGTATCAAACTAGTGGTCAAGGACTAACTCCTTAAAAAAAAAAAAAGCAACTCTTATCCAGGATTAATTTAATTTTAAAAACAAATACAAGCTATTGATTCACTCTTCTCAACTTAACTGGACAGTCTACCTGTGGTATAACTGTCAGGTAAAAACATACATCTTTACAACTTGGTGGTCCCAAGTTTTTTTTAAAAACCATTTCACAGAAAGGAAAGAAATAATATGAAAACAGCTCAAGAAATACACTAACAAGCAAAAATATATGGGGAAGAAGGAACACATTGTTTTGACTTAACTGAATAAACTGAGAGGAGACTGGTCTATGTAAGGAAATGTGCATCCTGGAAAGTTTGGCGTGTAGGAATTTGTATGACTTGAATCTCCCCTATTTCCTGAATAAAAACAACATCTTGTAGTATTTATACTTCATGGCTCAGACACCTACCTCACTTGGCTCTATTTCTTACTCACTCTAGCCTTTACTTAAATGAGTCTGAAAAACTTGGGGATATAGCATAAGAAGAAAAATAACCACACACAATATTCCCCCTTTTGTGGCTACTTTTAGACCTCTGTTACTAGAAAATTCCTAAAGAAAATTTAAATATAAGTCTGTGGCTTTGCTGAATCAAGAAGCCCCCAGTTAATATTTAGAAAACACCTTCTGTTTGGACTAATAACATTGTTGATAGAACTTATTATAGAGGGATAACCAAACAAAGTCTGTGTCTCAAAACCAGTGTTAAATCAATCTCAGAGTTGAGAGGAAGAAAAGGGGAGTCTAAAAATCACAAGTGCAGACATGATCTAAGATCCTTGTCCTTCTGGATCCACACTTCCTTCAGGGTCTTCATCATTATAAATGTTCTCTGCCTGCCAAAAACAAAGAGAAAAGGGTATTGAGTAAACATGAAGGTTACTTCTTGAAGTTAAGGCTGAAAACAGATGAGGCCAGGAAGACAGTCTGTGGGGTATATAGTCTGTTTTAACTATTCAACTCTGCAGTGGTTTGCTAAAAGCAGACATAGACACCTGCAAATGGATGAGTATAGTTGTGAGCTAATAAAAACAGGCAGTTGGCCATACGCCAACCATGTCCCCATTAAGATATTTCCCAAAAACTGAAGTATGGTTACTGTTTGTCTTGATCAACCTTGAATCTTTTTTTTTAACCTTGAATCTTTTAATCAGACATTAATCAATAATAAGTAAAAACAACATAAATGTCCATCAACTGATGAATGGGTAAATAAAAGTAGGGTGATGGCTGCCTAGTACTGGGTGGATTAGAGGCAAACAGGAGGGATGACTACTGGGTATGGGGTTGGTTTCTGGGGTAACTAACTGTAGTGATGGTTGCACAATTCTGTGACTACACTAAAATTCACTGAATTGTATACGGAGGAAGAAAAGAATCCTCAGGCCGCAAAAAAATGTTTCAAAATCAAATCTCAATTTATAATATTTTTAAAAGATAAACTGTTCTTGCATAAAGTAAACTCTACATGTACCACTTGGCTGTTCTTAGTATCTACTATGCACAAACCACTAGGACAGATGCTGCAGAGGATGGGATAGTCGTAGCTTATAACTTGACTACAGGGACAAAGAATGTATACAATTGTGTGAGCAGTCTGACAACAGTTGTGTGGTATCTCTTCCCCTGACACCAATGGGGTGTTGAACAGTTCAATCCTGATGCAGACCACCTGGAGGCAGATCTGTGACCAAGGGCTCACGCCCACAAGACTTCAGAGGCCAGTGTCAAGCTCTGATAGCTTAGGCTACCCAAGCACTTTGTCCCACTTGGCTGCAAATTTTCTCACAACCTTGCCGCCCCCCTCTGCCCCAGTTTGGGCACAAGGGGCTACTTATAAATAGCAATAGAGACTCCTGCTACTCAGGAAATCTCAAGAGTACAAGCATTCCCTAAACATACCAACCACATTTTGGTAAACAGCCTTCTTTCAAATAGTTACATATAATTAAACATAAGACTAGAAACCCAAATTTTAATACGAGGAAATTCTATCATGCTGTTCTACAATCTGCTTTTTTCCAGCTCATCAGTGTATCATGAATAGCTTACAAAACTAGTATACTTCTTTTTGATACATAATATTCCAAAGTATGGATGCAGACATGTGTTAATCTCATAGGACACAAATATTCCCATCTTATTTTTGATTAATAGCATTTAATAGGAAAGTTCTGAATATCAAAATGTTTTTCCTCATGCTGAGCCAAAATCTCACCTCTGGCACTTGCTTCTTCCTGGTTCTAGATCTACTCTGAGACAATTTAAATATTTCTTTAGAATAATTTTCATTTATTCAGCCACTGTTATTTAAAAGTCATGCTATTGTTTTTTAAACTGTAGTAAAAGACACATAACACAGTTTATCATCGTAACCATTTTTAACTGGCATTAAGTTCAGTGGCATTAAGTCCATTCACATTGTGTATGCAAATATCACCACCATCCATGTCCAGAAGGCAATCATTTCTTGGATTGCAACATTATCAGACATTACAATTATTTTTATTAAATCCCAAGTGCTCTGAAAATTCAAAGCAGGGTGATCACCTTCAACTGGGGCATAAAAAGGCAGGGAATGTTTTTGAAATCTAGGCAAGTTTCATGGAGAAATGGTTCTCTTTGATGTTGACACTGGGACAACCAGATAAGAATAGCCACTTAATAATGTACAGGTGAAGTCACATGGTGGGAGTAAACTGAACAGAGCTGCTGACGTATATATAAACACAATAATACTAGGCTTCATTTATCTAAACACTTACCATTTGCCACACTTGCATGATATTGTCTTCTGATACAGAACAAATCACCCAAGGTTCGTTGGGATTCCAGGAGAAATCAGATATCTTGGCAGTGTGACCACCATGAATAAACTGAAAGAGGTAGGAAAACAGAGGTGAAAAGCAGATAAGAGGACAATAAATCATGAACTATTTCAGCTGTGCTCAGTATCTGTAACATACCAACAACTCTGGTGGCCCATCTTCTGCATCTTCTGGGGATTGTTCCTCTCCAATTTTACTAGCACAAAAAAGGTTTTTTTTAAATTAAATTTACCTTGAGTAATTCTGGAAAGTATAAAAAAAAGAACTTCACAAAGAGTAATTTAACAAGACATACCTTAAATCCCAGACATTCAGTCTACGATCAGTACCACTGGAAGCCAAAATAGTCTCATTGTGAGGCGACCACTGAACCTATACGTTAAGAATAAAAATCTATCAATTAGAAAACTAAGGAGAGGGGAGTTCCCTGGTGGTCCACTGGTTAAAAATCCACCCTACAATGTAGGGGACAAATGTTTGATCCCTGATCAAGAACTAAAATCCCACATACCACAGGGCAACAAAACCCCACAAGCCACTACTAGAGAAGCCTGTGCAATGCAACAGAAGATGCCTGCAATGGCGAGCTGACGCAGCCAAAACAAACAAATAAATGCCAAACGTTATCCAACACTGACCTAAGAACTAAAGTACAGCTCACCCACACAATTTACCCAAGTACTTTCAGTATTACACACAGTGCCTGTGCATTCAGTTTCGAACATAATGTAACAAATATTTCTTGAACTGAGTCAGCGGGCTCTGCATATTAAGAAAAGAGCTTAATTAAACTGATTAGACAGAAAACTTGGGAGTCAGTACTTTAGGACTGAACTGTGAAATTATAATAGATATGGCAAGTTACAAAGGAATGGAAATAAGGGAAGAGACACACGTCAAGCATAAGGTTGATTAAAAACACTAGGAGCATTAGTTTCTCTTACCTGGAATATTTCATCCTTATGTGATTCAAAGGAATGCAACTTAAGTTTCAGATTTCTCAGATCCCACAGAGCAACAGTCTTATGTACAAAAAAGGAAAGCAAGAGTAATCAATAAAAAATTTTTTTAATGAGAAAAAGAAAATCCACAACTAAAAGATCTCCGTGCATTCAAAAGAAGCCAGAGAAATCCACCCTATGTCTTTTTGTAAAAGTAAATCACACTAACCTTGTCAGCTGATCCTGTGGCAAGAATGAACTCACTATAAGGATTGAAAGAAAGGCAGTTCACTTCAGCAGTGTGAGCATCAACTGAGTGGCTTGGTTTGGAAGTATTGTTTGAACGAGTATCCCAGCTTCGGTGAAAGAAAGAAAAAAAACGGGGAAAAAAAAGCTTGAAATGGATAGTCAAATATTATACAACTTAGATAATATATTGAGAAAAAGATGGATTCAACTCACATCATGAGTTTCTGATCATCAGCAACCGATCCAAAGAGGGACTCATGGAGCAGATGCCAGGAGACATCCTCTACTACTGCCGTGTGCCCTGTGAAGATGGTCTTTGCATCCACAACTTTCCCCTCCTTTGGAACAGCACTTATGTCCCACAGGCAGATGGTCTTAAATGAGAAAAATGAACTATTACATAAAAGAAAGAGTCTCACTTCCTCATATACCCCAGAAAACACTGATACAACTAGCCCAGATGTGCTTCACACTGGGAAGGATACGCACGTGGTCATCTGAAGCACTCAGTAAGTGCCCACTGAGATTTGGGTTCCAAGAAAGCCCGTAGCCTTCCTTCTGATGTCCACGGAGACGCAAGTCTGGGTTGCACTCTCCAGAAGGGTCTACAAAGTAACAGACACATCAAGACTATCTGCCTCACTGGACCTACTTAGCATAATGAAATTTTTATCAAGAGGTCTAAAGCTCTTATTTTTTATGAGAAATACAGACTATGACCAAACAGATAATATTTAAAAGCGGCACATTCCGTTCTATATAAAAAAACAATTTCTTTTTCCAGATGTAGGGAAGAAGGATGAAGAGGTAGTACCCACACATATCAACATAATTCACAGGATATTAAGATACATAAAGAATAAGCTAGCAATTAAAACTGAGAGAAGCAATGTATTCCTGTAGTGATTCATCATTTATATTTGAATAGAAGAGAGAAGATACCTGGTTTAGAAGGATGTTTTGTATAGTCAAAAACAAGAACATCACTGGATGGAGTCTTTGTTGCAATGATGCAAGGATTCTGGGGCATATAGCGTGCCCTGTTTACCTCTCCTTCATGGTTGATCTTGATTTCTATTTCAATTTTTCCACTAACCGAGCCAAAACCTCCAAATTCTGTAAATAAGATGTTAATTGCAAATGAGGACAAAGCAAGAAGTACTCTATGTCACTCAAAGTTTCACAGAGGCAAGGCTTTTAATAAATGAACTGGTATAATACTAGAAGCAGTATCAATATTTATTAGCAATATACAGACCACACTCCTTATTTCATTGATTTCTTACCATAACTCTACAGAGTAGGGAAGAATTATCTCCAAATATTTCACATGGGAAAAAAGAGGACCTACATTAATTTGCTCATGGTGACGTGACTACAGCAGAACCTAAAATGAATCCCCATTTTTCTGACCCCTTTCAGCTATGATACTCTTTCAGCTATGCCCAAAATGATTTTGGTAATTATATACCTAATAAGTATTATATCGCTATCTAAAAGTAAGAAACACTATTGACTCCACTTCAAAGATTCTAAGTGGCTTTCAAGCCTCACTTAATCAAAAAGAAAAAAACAAACTATGCTCAATAAATAAAATCCTTTTTTTTCCTTTTTTTTAAAATAAATAAAATCTTAAGTTACTATTTTAATGAATATCAAGTACATACACAGTGTGCTAGGTACTAAAGAGTCCCTCTTCTTGACTATTTGAATCTCCAGTTTGGGGTAACCTTTTTGAAATACTGACATCTTTCCTCGTATCAGTGAGGAAAAACAGAGCCACAACAGCTGGTTCAATTTTCCTAACCCCCCCAACTTACACTTGCCAACCAGAGTCCTTGGCTGAAATACACCAGGTAGGCAAGGACTAGACAAAAACATATTTTATTCACATTTGACTACTATATGCACTTACAGAGTTCTCCCAAGTACCATTATAAAATGCTTAAGAATATAATTTGTCATTATATAAACCTTGGCAAGGGTTTCCCTGGTGGCTCAATGGTATAAAGAATCCACCTGCCAATGCAGGAGACACAGTTTTGGTAAGTTGGGTAATATGATTAGCAGATAACATTCAACCTCAAAATAACTTTATACATTGAAAAGCAGTGGTTCAAACAAGCTAAAAGCCTAAAAACAGTTCAAAACAGATTCTTAAAGAGGGGGGAAAGAAAAACATTAAAAAAATCCCTCCGGAATTCTAGACCACAAATACCCACATTGCAAAAAGAAGGCATGATTAGGATATGTGATCTCAAAGAACTTTCAGTCCAAGACAAGGAGATAAGAACATAGTTTATCAGCTATATACTACTAGGGCTTTCCTGGTGCCTCAGTGGTAAAGAATCTGCCTGCCAATGCAGGAGACATAGGTTTGATCCCTGGGTAGGGAAGATCCCCCAAAGAAGAAAGTGGCAACCCACTTCAGTATTTCTTGCCAGGGAAATCCCATAGATGGAGGATACTGGTGGGCTACAGTCCATGGGCTTGCAAAAGAGTCAAGATAAGACTTAACAACTAAACAACAACATACTACTAATCAGAGGCACCCTCTCCCCCGCTACCTGCAGTTAAAATACAATAGTAAGAACTCAGCTTAGGACCTTTCTTGGTGACACAGTGGATAAGAATCCACCTGCCAATGCAGGGAACTTGGATTCAGTCCCTGGTCCAGGAAGATTCCACACGCCACAGAGCAACTAAGCCTGTATGCCACAACTACTGAAGTCTGCATGCTCTAGGGCCTGCAAGCTACAACTAATGAGCCCCTGTGGTGCAACTACTGAAGCCCATGCGCCTAGAGCCTGTGCTCTGAAACGAGAAAGCAGCCTCCGCTCTCTGCAAGTGACAAAGCCCGCACGCAGCAATAAACAACCAGTGCAGTCAAAAATAAATAAACGAGTAACTGTATCAGTGTGTACATGTTTAAAAAAAAAATCAGCTTAGAGGATTCACAACTGAGATTTATGAAGATGAGGATTCATCTATTTAACAAATAATCAGGGACTGCCCAAATTCAAGGTGAGAGCAAAAACACCAAATCTGATGTAGGGAAGAAAGACTGAGGTATCAATGAACAATAAAGTGAATGATTACCAAGGTCTAACTACATTCCTATTTTGTTTGGAAAATACTATTTAGAAAGACTGAGATATAACAATATGCTTAAACTGTGTAGCCTGATGAATTTTTACATATGCATACACTAGGGGAGTTACCACCCAGATAAAAACATGGGACATCTCTAGCCCTCTCATCCTCCCACAAGGCACTTCTGTATCCCTCCCAACTAATACTGTTGGACAAACCAGATAACCAGCATTCTAATTTCTACCACTTCGCCATTTTTTGTAGTCCATAAACATTTTGAAACTAAGAATAAGTTGCAACATCTTGAGTCAAATATTCCAATTATTTCATCATGACTTAATACTAGTTTATTACATATAACTGAAGTAGAAGACTAAAGATAATTTAAAAAAAAACACCCCCCCAAAACAATTCCCAAATAAGTTGCTAAAAATAAACTCGTTGATATTTAAAGATCTTGGTAACAGCATCTGAAGTAAAATTTCAAACCTATTTCCAGGGCTTCAAATGTAACCATAGCTGGGCTGAATGTAATACAAATACAAAAATTCTTTTTTAAGTCAAAACAAGCCTAAGCCAATTTTATGTTCTTTCATGTTGAAAGTTCAATTATCTTTTGAAGCTATCTGTCACCAACTACCTCAAATCAAATGGGGTTAAGCAGATGGTAATCAATTTCAATAGTTCGATCTCAGAGTCTAGGACACTTCATCTGAGAGCAAGGAGGGACTAGGAATCGATCTATGTAACAACCACTTAAGCTTTAAGAGATATTAGTAATATGTATCTACTTCCACCATTGTTGAGACCATATGGAGAGAGCACCTGCTCCCCTTTAAGCACCAAGCTTGTCCAGCCATCTGAGTGATTTGAAGGAAGAACGAGAGGGAAAAGGAAGAGAAAAGGAAGGAATGGGAGCCGATATGCTATGTAACCTTAGGGGAAGTTACCTGGTTTTCTTGTGAGGATTAAATAGGGGGATCTATGCAGTCATACAAATATATCATGTATATTCTTTTATTTTATAGTTTCTCTAGAGTTAAGTATTTGGGGGATAAAGGTATCATCAGAAAAGCAAATTGGTTTGATGCCACTCAAAAAACAAAACAGATAATCAACAAGAATTTAGAACTTCCAGATGTACAAGCTAGGTTTAGAAAAGGCAGAGGAACCAGAGATAAAGCAAGAGAATTTCAGAAAAACATCTAATTCTCTGCTTCACTGACTACACTAAAGCCTCTGACTGTGTGGCACAACGAACTGTGGAAAATTCTTAGAGAGATGGGAATACCAGACCACCTCCCCTATCTGAGAAATCTATATGCAGGTCAAGAAGACAACAGTTAGAACCAGACATGGAACAACGGACTGATTCCAAATTGGGGAAGAAGTACGTACGTCAAGGCTGTATATGGTCACCCTTCTTATTTAACTTATATGCAGAGTTCATCATGTGAAATGCCTGGCTAGATGAATCACAAGCTGGAATCAAGATTGAGGGAGAAATACCAACAACTTCAGATATGAAGATGCTGGGAAAGACTGAAGGCAAATGGAGAAGGGGGCTGCAAAGGATGAGATGGTTAGAAAGCATCACTGACTCAATGGACATGAGTTTGAGCAAACTCCGGGAAATAGTGAAGGACAGGGAAGCCTGGTGTGCTGCAGTCCATGGGCATGCAAAGAATAGGACAGACTTATCGATTAAACAACAACATAAGTAATTATACCCAATGTTGTGGTAGCCTTAATGAAATATGGGTAAAAACAAAACACTCAATGAAATCATGATGTTGAATATCTGAAATAACATTGTAAATCAACTATTTTTAATTTTAATGGTCAAAACAGAGAAGTACCAGAAAACAGATAACTAGTTTAAAACTTTGGAGTGATAAAGGCCTTTCAAAGAATGACAAAATCTGAAGGACCCCAGAGGAAAGGTGGATAATTAAAAATTCACAGCTTCTAAAGTAAATAGGAGACTCAGTGGTAAAGAACACAACTAAATAGCTGTGGCTCAGTGGTCAAGAATCTGCCTGCCAATGCAGGAGACGTGGGTTCCAGCCTTGATCCGAGAAGATCCCACATGCTGCAAAGCAACTAGGCCCATGTGCCAGAACTATTGAGCCTGTGCTCTAGAGCCCAGGAGCCACAGCCACCGAAGCCCGTACACCCCAGAGCCTGTGCTCTGCAACAAGAGAACCCACTGCGATTAGAGAAGCCAGTGCACCGCAAGGAAGCCTTCCTTGCCCTAACTAGAGAAAAACCTGTCCAGCAGCAAGGATCCAGCACAGTCATAAATAATTTTAAATAGATAGGATTCAAGATTATAAAATAAAGAGGGAAAAAATTTTCTATAACCTGTTAGTTAGGGATAACTAGCATTACATATATAGTTAACTCAAAAGGAAAAAATGAGGAAAACACATAAATAGGCAGCTTAAAAGACAGACAAAAGATAAATATTTTAAAATAAGTCCAACATCACAAATAACTTAAAAAGCAAGGTAGGAAATTCCTGGGGGTCTGGTGGTAAGGACTCTGTACTTTCACTGTCAAGGGTGCTGGTGTGATTCCTGGTGGGGGAACTAAGATCCTGAAAGCCCTGTGGAGCAGCCATTAAAAAACCAAATCACAATAAAAACCAAAACCAAGAAATAAAAAACAACACCCCTCCAACAACAAAGTAAAACGAGAACGTAGCATTCAATGTTGGTAAAGGCATGCAGAAACAGGCATCAATACATTTGCTACTGGTGAAATTCAGTCTTTTTTGGAGGGCAACTTAGCAGTACCAATATACTTGAAAATGTTCTTGCCAACTGATCAATATTCCATTTAGGTAGTTATTCTACAGCAAAACTATGCAAGATATCTGCACAAGAACTATTTTTGAAGCCAAAAGATTGGAAACCACTTAAATGTTAATTGAGGGATGGTTAACTACAGCATAGTATACAGCCATCAAAAGGAGGTACATTCCCATATGCTAACAGAAAAGATGGCTGGGATACATGAGGCCAGGAAGTATATTTTATGCTATATTCCCAGTACAAAGAAAAACTGCCTAGCCGAAGTACTTAACGTATTTGTTGAGTGAGTGTTCCAATTGGGATAAATCATTCCGAAAACTATCAATTTAACAGTGATCCATAAAGGACAGATTTATGTGGTGAGAGGTTCACATTATAGTTGCTTTTTTTTTTTTGGTTTGCACTACATGGGCTTGTGAGATCTTATTTCCTAGACCTGGAATCGAACAAGCCCCCTCCCCCACTCCACAGTGAAAGCATGGAGTGCCAACCACTGGACCACTAGGGAAAGCCCTGCTTCAATTTTTAAAGATGATTTATTACATTACCAATCAGAATATTTGCTTTATGTCTAAATAACTAAAAATCCTATTTAGTTTGGCTTAATAATAAAAAGAAAACAAGCTCAGAGAGGCTAAATGATTTATCCTTAAACTACACAGCTAGTGAGCAGCACAACAGGGTCCCAAGCCCTAGTCGTCTGATTCTTTTCTTTCCAACAACAACAAAAAATCGCTATTTTCGGCTGTGCAGCATGTGGGATCTTAGTTCCCCAACCAGAGATTGAACCTATGCCCCTTGCAGTTTAAGCATAGACCCCTCCATCACTACTAATGCCTACGCAGAGACCATCTCTGCAGTTACCATATCCTATAGTTCACACACACAGGTCAGTGATGCAAAATCATGTTTGCTGGCCCTTATCCTAAGAACTTATTTTGCATTCTGCTAAGCTAAATATGGAATGATCAAAAGAATAACTGCATGTTACAATCTTGGCAAATAACTGGAACTCAAAATAACTTAGATAAAGGAATGGATTCAATCAATCAGGAGAAATCTAAAATAAGAAAACATTACACATTAATTTTGGGGGGCCACAAATCTCAATACTGAAAGTCTATCTTCTACCTTTGGTAATAATTTGAGTTCAAGGAGAACAATAAAGGAAACCCACTCATTTCTCTCTCTTCTGAAAGGGAAAAAAATAATTCATGAATAGTTAAGTCCTAAGGTTATCACCTAAAAATAGGATATAATTAAACACTTATTTAATTTTTATATACTATACAGCAAATGCCATAGTTAAGTCTTTTCTACCGGTTAAATCTGGAAAGGGTAATTTAAGCCAGTGCTTTTCAATCATTCCCCCCCCCCATTATTGCCCTATAAGATATTTTGACACCTCGATGAAATTCTAATACCACAGATAACCTGTGTATTTGTTTATGCATGCTATGTATATCTGTGCTTGAAACAGTTCAAAGAATAAGACTGTTTTCACACTTACCCCGCTCTGAGAATCAATTTTCAGTTCCCCAGGGGCAGTATCTTCTATGTTGAGAATGCAAGCACGCACGGCAATAATATATGGTGGATTTTAGCTTCTTGAAATTCCCCTACCACCAAATTTAGTTGAAGAAAAGTTTATAGAAAAAGTACAGAACCAAGTGCATGTTACATGTCTTCCGACATCTAGTATCTACACCAAAAATCAGGCTTTCCAAAGCTTAATATCTTGTTCCTAACTTGAGAGGCTACGTTATTAAACTGTACACACTTTTTTATGATAATTCAGAGATACGAAAATATAACCAAAATAAGTATCATTCCTCCCTTCACCTTTAATTAAGACTCCTACCTCCTTTTTCACTGTCGTAGTGTGAAGCATCAAACTGAGCATCATCATTAGGGAGCTGCACGCTGGCTATCACAAGGTGGTTTTGTTCATCTGACGTGTGTGTCCCCAGCACAAGTCGATGAATACTGAAATCTTTCCCTTCTGGTCTGTAATAGTGACATATGGTCAATATTCAATTTAGTAAACTAAGAGAGACATACATGTATACACACATGTATACACACATGTATACACAAGGCACTATTACAAACGGGATTTGAGAGAAAGAAGTCATTAAGAGCCGTATTTCCTTACTTTTAACATATCTTCCATAGAGCTGAGGGCAGGTACCACATACCACTTAATTTCGTAATTATTTCTTAACTTGGCCAAATATTTACAATTACCTTTGAGAAAAGAGTCTGACGGAATAAAATAAAAATTAATTATTCATCCTTTACAAGGAGATGGAGAGAAAAAAACCAATTGTTGGGTATATGAACACTTCCAGTTACTTCATTAAAATGGAAAGGAACTGACATCAAGTAAGCTAATGTCTCAAAATGATATAAAACCTAGAAGAGGGGGACAAGAGCTTTGAAAGACAGTATTCCAAGGGAGGTAAGCAAAGATGCAGGTTACAACACTATGAAGTAATATTCTAATTTAAAGATGGTTTTGGGAAATTGACATCCTTGGTGGCTCAGAGTTAAGAATCTGCTTGCAATGCAGGAGACCTGGATTCAATCACTGAATCAGGAAGATCAACTGGAGAAGGGAACGGCTACCCAGTCCAGTATTCTTGCCTGGAGAATTCCATGGACAGAGGAGTCTGGCAGGCCATAGCCCATGGAGTGGCCTAAGATTAACCAACTATGTAACAGAACTAGGACTGAAGTCTAAATCTGACTTTGAATGTGGGAAAACAGTGGGAGAGAAGGTAAAAAAGCAGACTGAAATCAGACTCTAGGGTACTGAATGTTTGCTTAAGGTATTCTGAACTCTACTGAAAGGAACAAAGAACCATGGAAAATTTATAAGAGATGTACCATAATTTGAGTTCTGTCAGAAGGATTAATTCAATGTAAACATAAAGCAGAGGTTCTTCAAGTGTGGTATGGGGAACAAAACCATCAATATTATCTGGGAACTCCCACATACAAATTCTCAAATCCATTATAGACATGTTCAATGAGAAATTCAGGGGGGATGATTTGAGGTGCTTAACAATCTGTTCTACAGATAATTTCCTGGCAGTCCAGTGGTTAGGACTCAATGCTTCCTCAATTCCTAGTTGGTGAACTAAGATTCTGCAAGCTTCATGGCATGGCCAGTGTAAAAAAAAAAAAAATTTCCGATTCCTTCAGCTGATTATGATGCCTGTTAAAAGTTTGAGAACCCCAGTCTAGATGGGAAAGATGCTACACAAGAATTCATCAGGGCTTATAAACAGACTGTCAAGTCAAGAAAGGGCTAGGGGGAGGGGAGAGACCTAAGAAATGTCAAACCAAAGTCAGCTAATAAGATACTCCAGAAAAGACACCAATAATAACAGGCAGTTGGCAATTCAGGTAGAGCTCAGAAGCTGGGTTTAGAGATAACCAACAGAAATTCCTCTGCAGTTTCAGATACCCTATGTGGAAAAAGAGGAGGAAATATAAGACGGCTGCTAACATAAAGCTGGGGATACTTGTATTTACAAAGTTAAACAACTAAAGGAAGTGCGGGAGTGAAGAAGAATATTACAAAACCACAACCATATCATTCTTTCTTTCTAAGAAACAGAATATAAATCAACACACAAACACATTAAACAGACATTAGGGAGAGTTGTTATAAGTAATCCCATCCTAAGAAAATAACAGTTATACAAGTACAATACCAAAATAAAGGAAGGGTATTTGGACCAACTTCTACTCTTGCAGAAAGGCTTATTCATCTACATCTGTGAAGCAGAAAGCTACTAAGAGGAAAGCACAGATTTCAGCCTTAGGTTATTCAGTCTTACTGTTTTCCAAACCTAGCTAATCACACTACATGGAAAGCTTTTCCAGAATGATTTAGTAAGGACGGGGTGGCCAATATTTGGGATCCTTTGGTCCAATATAATTTAGCACCTGACGATAGTAAATCTAGAATTACTACTTAAACTATTTTTAAGTATCCTGCCACAAGTTTCTAAGTGGTCTGAACTACTGACAACTCCTAACACAAACCACTCCTCTTACCCTGAACTCAAGTAATTCTAATAAGCAACTGAATGTGGGAACTCCTAATTCACATACTTAGGACAAGGAGGGAGGTTCAAAAGGGAGGGGACATAAGCATACTTATTGCTACTTCATCTGATGTACAGCAGAAATTAATATAATACTGTGAAGCAATTACCATCCAACAATTAAGAAATTAATTTAAAAAAATACTTAGGACAGATTCCCCTCCCGCCCCTTTTAAATGCCAGTGGGAGATTAGCAGGCTCATATTGCTATTAATAATATTTGCATAAATTGTCAGTTATTTTTTGAGCAGAAACATAGTCAAATAACCACAATTCACAAATATCCTGACTTCTAAAGTCCTGAATTTTGAAGAAATGTACTTACTCAGTACACATGTAATTTTTAAAGGTTGTTGAGTGGCAGGTTATCATGTCACATTCATCTTTGCATTAACCAGATAGTACAAATGACTGTGAGATTCAAAATTTTTTTGTTGAAAGAACTGCATTCATCATAATCACTTTTTGAAAGCTGACAAATTTTACATTACTGTTTGATCAACTACAGTTATAATACGCCTATTCAATTCAGTTGTCAGAAAAAGAAGACATCAACATGTTTTCCCTTATCAGGTAAATTGCAAAGTTGTTTCACATTTTGTCTTTTTTGGCCTAGAAAAAAAATGTCCCCAATAGGTTCTGATCACGTGTCCGCTCCGGGTGACTGGAGAAAGGAAAACAGGGATAATCAATGTGAGAAATCTACACTGAGAATACAACAAAATAACATTCAACGGATTCTTATCACCTGGTTACATCTGGAAGCCACTGTGCAGTTAGGCTAGGCCACTCCAGAGCATGGGTCATCACCAAATCGTAAAGAAAAGGGGTGTTCTTTTTCCATATTTTGTATTCTTCGTTGATCACACGTTCTTCTACTGCGTCATCAAAGGCTGCTAAAAAATAAAAAAACAAATTAAGTTAGTGACCACAAATGGAAACCGAGTAAACACTTCCAAAGCCACCGGCACTCTTAAATCCCGATTCTGAAATGGAGATCTGTCTAAATCTCCCCGAGGCACAGCCACCAACGCCGCTCTCCAGCCTGACGGGGCTTTAACTGCTGGGCTCATCGCTGCCAAATGCCGTTAGCCGCTCGGCCGACGGCGTCGGGAGGAGCACAGAACCGGCGGGGAGGCCGGAGCACCAGCCCTTGCGGATAGCAAGCACTGAAGGGAGGACCCGGAGAGAGGCGAGCAGACCGACAGGGCGTGCGGAGAAGGACCAAACACCAGCCGGGGACCCAAATGCCTGCTTCAAGCCGCTGCGCCGGGCCTCTGCTCCGGAGGAGCTGGTGCGCCGTTAACCCGCCCCGCCGGGCGATTCTCCTCACGCCTGCGATGGCGGGGACGGCACTCAGCTGAGTCTGGCCTGTCCTCACTGTTAGGCCGTTTCGAGGCCGCTACGCAAGCCCGGCAACCCCCCACTCTCCTGGGGCCGCCCCGGAACCCTCACCTTCCTTGTCGGCCATGGCGGGTAGGCAAGCCGGCGGGGATCCCGGGGTTGAGCGTTGCGGGAGGGGCGGGGAGCCTGCGGGCGCTCGCTCTGCGCGCGCGGCCTCTATTGTTTCCTGCTGCCCCTGCGTGAGGGATGACTCGCGCACCTTCGCGCCAACACCGGCCAATCGGAGTGCGCCGAGCAGCGAGGTGGGCGGGGAAGTCTCGTTCGCAACCTATCCAGACGCGTAGAGTCTCTTGCCGCGGGGCCGAGGCGCGCGCTCCGCCCCTGCCCCCACACGGCCCCGAGACAACTTCCTTCGCTTGCGCGCGCGCGGGTTGGTAAGAGTGAGCCGCCCGAGGTCACGTGAGAGGTTTAGGCCGCACGCTCCTGGGGGGCAGCCATTTTCTTGAAAAGTGTTCCGCTAGCCCTTCAAAGTAGGGCTTTGAATGAGAAATCTAGGATGTCTTCGGGTCTAGTTGTCCACTCTAGGGATGAACTGGAAAGAAAGGCCTTTATTACACCTCGAGATATCTAATTCAAGTGTTGTCCTATTCCTAGATCCTCCAATATATTTGTTCCCTTACTTCTTAGGACTATTGATGAAGCACGTCCAGAAAATGGGTCCTTGGACTTTTAAAGAACTCCAAGCGGTGAGACCTAGAACGGAAGTCTTCAGGGATTAAGGTTTAGGGGATTAAGTCCTCCAGGATGGCGTCCTAGCCCTTTAAGGGTGTCTGTCTAGGGGCGGAGTCTTGGGCGGATATTGGAAGTCCGGGCTGAAGTCCGGCTGATGAAGGGCGGAAGTTGAGTTTGGGTCCAAACCCGCAATCATGGCGCAGGAAGGGGAAGATGTAAGAGATTACAATTTGACTGAGGAGCAGAAGGCGATCAAGGCCAAGTATCCTGCAGTCAGTCGGAAGTACGAGTGTGAGTAGGTGGCTCACTTCTCTCCTTGCGGGAGGGCTCTGGCTTCCTCTTCCACTTTGCCTCATAGGGTGGTTCAGGCATTCCCATTTCGCCCTGTGTGAATGCTCTTCTGAACTAATCCCGGGAAAGCTGAAATGCTGAAGAATAAAGACACCTGGTCTGAGAATAAGGAAACCTGGGCTCCCACATATACAGTATCTTGAACTCTTCTGTATATGCCTAATCACATTTATCTTATGGAAATTTTTGTTGTTTAGTCGCCAAGTCCTGTCAAATTCTGCTACCTCAGGGACTGCTGCTCGCCAGCCCCCTTTCCCCCCATCTCCTGGAATTTGTTCAAATTTATGTCCATTCAGTCGGCGATGCTATGGAACAAACTTATCCTTTGCCGCCCCCGATTTCCTTTTGCCTTCAATTTTCCCGTCATCAGTGAAAGTCGCTCAGTCGTGTCGGACTGTTTGTGACCCCATGGATTATACAGTCCATGAAGTTCTCCTGGTCAGAATACTGGAGTGGGTAGCCTTTCACTTCTCCAGGAAATCTTCCGAACCCAGGGATGGACCCCAGGTCTCCCTCAATGCAGGCGGATTCTTTACCAGCTGAGCCAGCAGGAAGCATCAGGGTTTTTTCCCAGTGAGTTGGCTGTTTGCATCAAGTGGCTAAAGTATTGGAGCTTCAGCTTCAACTATAGGCCTTCCAGTGAATATTCAGGGTTAATGTCGTTTAGAATTGACTGGTTTGATCTCCTTGCAGGCCAAGGGACTCCCAAGACCTTCTCCGGCACCACAATTCAAAAGCATCAATTCACCCGCGCTCAGCCTTTATGGTCCAGCGCTCACATCCGTCCGTGTGTGTGCATAGTTGCTCAGTCGTGTCGACTCTTTGCAACCCCATGGACTGTAGCCCACCACGCTCCTCTGTCCATGGGGATTCTCCAGGCAAGAATTCTGGAGTGGGTTGCCATGCCCTCCTCCAGGGGATCTTCCCGACCCAGATTGAACCCAGGTCTCCCACATTGCAGGCGGGTTCTTTATTATCTGAGCCACCAGGAAAGCCCCACATCCGTACAAGACTGCTGGAAAAACTATAGCTTTGTCTACACAGACCTTGGAGGGCGTTTTACTGGTGTATTCATTGTGAAGATAGCCGTGTTTTCAAGTGTTTCATGTATCCACCCCCATCCCCACCTGTCTCCCAACAGTCCTGTAGTTAGAATGTGGCTAGGGTGGAGGACTACTAACTTGGTGTCTTACTTGTATCGTGTGTTGGTAAAAGGGCCTGGTTTTGTAATTTGTAGCTTAGTGACTTTAGGCAAATCACATAACCTCTTTTTGCATTCGTTCCTTCCTGTGAGGGCTAAATGAGATAATAATAAATGTGAAAATATAGTGCAGACTCTAAAGTTAGTCTATATAAATGTTAAATTGTTAGCCCTAAAGGTGGTTGTGGTTTGGGAGCACAAATCTGGCTCTTATTTCCCCCCTAATGTTCTTTCATTAATTTCACATTGTTCTCTGTATGCTGCTGTTTAGTTGTTAAGTCGTGTCCAACTCTTTGTGACCCCATGGACTACAGCTCACCAGGCTCCTCTGTCCTTGGGTTTCCCAAGGAAAAATACTGGAGTGGGTTGACATTTCCTTCTCTGGGGGATCTTCCCAGCCCAGGTATCAAACCCATGTCTCCTGCTTGCAGGCAGATTCTCTTATCACTGAGCCACCTGGGAAGGTCCTCTGTATAGAGTACAACTATTTATCATAGCATACTAGGCTCTGTGCTTTCTAGACCCTGCGTGTCTCCCTAGCTCATTTTTCTCTTCAATCAATTCAATCACTCAGTCAGTTCCAACCCTTTGCGACTTCATGGACTGCAACACACCAGGCTTCCCTGTCCATCACCAATTCCCGGAACTTGCTCAAACTCATGTCCATCGAGTTGGTAATGCCATCCAACCATCTCATCCTCTGTCGTCCCCTTCTCCTCCTTCCTTCAATCTTTCCCACCATCAGGGTCTTTTCAAATGAGTCAGTTCTTCACATCAGGTAGCCAAAGTATTGGAGTTTCAGCCTCAGCATCAGCCCTTCCAATGAACATTCAGGACTGATTTCCTTTAGGATTGACTGGCTGGATTTCCTTGCAGTCCAAGGGACTCTCGAGTCTTCTCCAGCACCACAGTTCAAAAGCATCAATTCTTTGGTGCTTAGCTTTCTTTATAGTTCAAGTCTCACATCCATACATGACTATTGGAAAAACCATAGCCTTGACTAGACGGACCTTTGTTGGCAAAGTAATGTCTCTGCTTTTTAATATGCTGTCCAAGTTTGTCATAACTTTTCTACCAAGGAGCAAGCGTCTTTTAATTTCATGGCTGCAGTAACCACCTGCAGTAATTTTGGAGCCCAAGAAAATAAAGTCTGTCATTGTTTCCCCATCTAGTTGCCATGAAGAGATGGGATAGGATGCTGTGATCTTTGTTTTTTGAATGTTGAGTTTTAAGCCAACTTTTTCACTCTCCTCTTTCACTTTCATCAAGAGGCTCTTTAGTTCCTCTTCTCTTTCTGCTATAAGAGTGGTGTCTGATATTGATATTTCTCCCAGCAATCTTGAGTCCAGCTTGTGTTTCATCCAGCCTGGCATTTCACATGATGTACTCTGCATATAAGTTAAATAAGTAGGGTGACGGTATATAGCCTTGAAGTACTCCTCTCCCAGTTTTGAACCAGTCCATTGTTCCATGTCCGGTTCTAACCATTGCTTCTTGACCTGCGTACAGATTTCTCAGGAGGCAGGTAAGGTGGTCTGGTATTCCCATCATTTTTCTCTTAGTTTTTTAAAAATTACCTATGATTCAAAATTCAAAAAGTATGACAGAACTCTTTAGTCTTGCTTTCTAGATCAGCCAGTCATAACATTTTCATATGTGTACATGCAAAGATGTACTTTAATTTACTCAATTTCTAGTTGGTGGACATTTATATTTGTACTTGTTTGCTATTAGAAATAATGCAGCAGTGAATATACCCGTACATCCAGTTTTTGGCACATGTGCAAGTTTATCTGTAGAATAAATTTCCAGAAGTTACATTACTTTGGTAAAGGATATCTGCATTTTTTCAGTATTTTAAAAAATTGGAGTATAGTTGATGTACTGTGTGTGCTTTGCTCAGTTGCTGAATCATGTCCGCCTCTGCAACACCATGGAATGTAGCCCACTAGGCTCCTCTGTCCATGGGATTCTCCAGGCAAGAATCCTGGAGTGGATTACCATTTCCTCCTCCAGGGGACCTTCCCGACCCAGGGATCAAACCTGCATCTCCTGGGTCTCCTGCACTGGCAGATGGATTCTTTACCAGTGTACCAGGTGAGAAGCTCCTAGGTGATTTTCAATGTTGGTTCATTTCTGCTGGTACAGTCAAGTGATTTTGGTTATGCATACATATACATTCTTTTTGATAGCTGCATTTTAAACTTCAGTAATTATTGCGAACTCTGTCGTTGAAGTTTCACCAGTTTATACTCACTAGCATTGTATGAGTATGCCTCTTACACCCTGTGATTTCATTCACCATAGTTTACTTCTGTTTGTTTTAGAGTTTTGTGTAAGTGGAGTCACATAGTACACATTCTTTTATATCGATGGCGTCTTCACTGAGTATCACTGATAAATGTTAGACATTAAAGTGGTGAGTGGACTTTATTCAGTAATTATGGACAGCAGGGGAAAGAACTGAGATCTGTTTGGATTTGTGCAGAGGAGATTGGACTTTTTAAAAGAATGAGAGATGGGGGAGAGCAGGGGTTCAGTAGAGACTAGAAATGAAAAATTATAAAAAGCTTGGTCAGTGTAAATGTCGTTGGAGCAGCAGTGTTTGCTAACTGGCAGTTATCAAGTTAGAATTCTCTCCCACGGAGCCTGGGAGTTCTTCCTGATGATTACATTTCAGAGGAATGGGAAAGATACTTCTGAGTTGTAAGAGATAAATATTCACAGTCGTAAGCCCTTTTTAGTGAGTGTTCTGAGAAAGGGAGGTCAAGGACCTATTGTCAGGGATTGTCTTGGAACAAACGATAAATTCTCCTACAGTGTAGAGCTTTCTCAGGCAGGCATTGTAATGGTGGGGCCATGATGATCCTAGGTACACAGGCTTAAGCTGCTAGAAGCCATGCTAAAGTTGGTCAGGTCTCTCAGTGCAGGGGGTTTGGATGGAGATATGTGTGTGAGAGTTCTGCAGTTTTCACTTGATGTTTTTGAGACTATTGTTAGTGCATATATCACTAGTTCACGCTTCTTTATTGCTGAGCAGTGTGGCATAGTATTCCTCAGTTTATTTTTCATTCTCTTCACAAACATTGGGTTTTTAATTTGGGGGAATAAAATTGCTGTGAACATTCTGCTATGTCCTTTTGTGGCCACATGCTTTCATTTCTCTAGGATTAAAATTAGTGTTGCTTTCCTTTAACTTGTTTGTCATTTCTGCTAGTCATTGAGCCCATTAGTGTCTAAAATGTACTGAAGCCTCAGTAGTATTTTGAGTAAATCAGAGGTGAGCTTAAACCCTGAGTGTCACCAGAAGAAGATGTGTTATGGTGTAAAGGGCACTAAACTGGGAGTCAGAAAATTTCAATTCTAGTCCCAACTCTAATCAGCAGTGTGGTCCTAAACAAGTTATGCAATCTCTCAGGATTTCAAGTTTCTTCTTGTAATTGAAGGATTTCTGTTAAATGATCTCTGAGGTTTCATTCTAGCTTGAATATTCTATGATCCTAAGTAGGAAGAATTGATGGAAGTCAGGGTTAAGAGTGAAGAATAGACTCTGAAATATTAAAATAACAGATCCAATGGTAACTTACTACAGTCACAGTTGTTACTTCCTGGTGTTGCTGTGAGACTATCAGGAAAAAGCTTTTAATACATATTGTGGAGTTTACTTTTCAAAACTATTTTATTGACCAAGGCTATCATGAGGATTCCTTCAAATGTAAGAAATTAACAAATATAAAACTTGGCTGTTGTTAAAAATAAAAGCCTCTTTTATCTGGGATTTGGCTAGCTGTTCATGAAAAGGTGAGACTGGGAAATCTGGAATTTTATATCTTTAATGACTTTCTAGAATTTTGGTCATTGATGAACAGAGGAGACTGGCAGGCTACAGTTTATGGAGTTGCAAAGAGTCAGACATGACTGAGCACTGACACACACAAGTAGATATTAGGAAAGATATTGATTTGTTTTGTTGGGGAATGTAACTAACAGCAGGAAATGGCATTTGTTTATTGAAAAACTATGATGTATTAGTGGAGTAGGAAATGGCAACCCACTCCCGTATTCTTGCCTGGAAAATTCCATGGACAGAGGAGCCTGGTGGGCTACAGTCCATGGGATTGCAAGGAGTCGAACATGACTAGGCACACACATACAAGCATATACACATGCTGTAGTAGACACTTTTTAGATCACCTCAAAGACCATGGCCTTGCTGCCTTCCAGAAACTATCATTCCTTTATTTATTTATTTTTTAGTTTTTTTAAAATTTTTATTAGTTGGAGGCTAATTACTTTACAGTATTGTAGTGGTTTTTGTCATACATTGACATGAATTAGCCGTGGATTTACATGTATTCCCCATCCCGATTCCCCTCCCACCTCCCTCTCCACCCAATCCCTCTGGGTCTTCCCAGTGCACCAGGCCCGAGCACTTGTCTCATGCATCCAACCTGGGCTGGTGATCTGTTTCACCCTAGATAATGTACATGTTTCAATGCTGTTCTCTTGAAACATCCCACCCTCGCCTTCTCCCACAGAGTCCAAAAGTCTGTTCTATACATCTGTGTCTCCTTTTCTGTTTTGCATATAGGGTTACCGTTACCATCTCATATATTTTTTAGTTTTTTTGGCCTTGCTGCAGGTCATGTGGGATCTTAGTTCCTCAACCAGAGATTGAACCTATGTGTGGAGGCCTAATAACTACTGGACTGCCAGGGAATTCTCATCATTCATTTAAATATAAGTCTTGATTTTAAAAGAAATAACCCTTTATCATAAATATGCTAATGTTATATAACTATTCTGTTACTTAATATTAGTTCATTTATTTAATATTAATAGAATATAACTGTAAATGCTTGGAAGTTCTAAAAAATAACCCATAACAATAACAACTTTTGTGTAAATGGTTAGTAAAAGGTGGATGGTCGACCCACATTTTCTTGTTCTTCAAGAATGATGTTCTTAATAATAATCTAGAGTCATTTTCTTGTGACTTGCAAGTTAAGTCTAGTTACTTATTAGTGTTTTTTCCTCTCTCCCTCAGATTTGGATCATACAGCCGATGTCCAGTGAGTAGAGCTGGAGTTTATGCCTTTGAAATCATGTGCTTAACACAGGAAGACTGATCTTTTAATCTTGCAGTCCCTAGTTTTAATTTTTCCCCTCTGTTTTGGTTTCTTTAGAACATGAAAATGATGGTTCAAAAGCACCTGGTTTCAGTGTCATTAAATTGATTGAGACCTTTGCTTTTGCATTTACAGTGTTGATTTTACTTTGACTTTGCTGTCGAGTTTTCTGTCTTGCAGTGAATCGTATTACAAAAGGCACGAATGCATTTCTTTAGGTTACATGCTTGGGGAGACACTCTGGAGGAAGCTTTTGAACAATGTGCAATGGCCATGTTTGGTTACATGACAGATACTGGGACTGTGGAGCCCCTGCAAACAATAGAAGTAGAAACCCAAGGTAATCAATTTGTTCACAAGGAAGAAATTGTTATACAGGTATTCAGATGCTATATAATTTCAGTATACACTTACAGGAGGTACAACAAAGTTGATTATGAGCTTGTTCTTTCAATGAGCCTAAGAAATTTATTGCACTGTAAAATTCTAACAAGTTTTCAGAGATGAGAGTTATTAAACACCATTCTTTATGCTTCTTTCTGACCCTGTGTAGGCGATGACTTACAGTCTCTTCTGTTTCACTTTTTGGATGAGTGGCTTTATAAATTCAGTGCTGATGAATTCTTCATACCCCGGGTAAGCAAGTTTTTCTTTTTTACTGAGCAAATGCATTTTGAGTTCATATTTTAGAATAAAACTAGTGATTTAAAACAGAACATTCTATTTAAAATAGAATACATGATGGAAAATGAAACCATTCAGATATGTAAGATGATGACATGCAGAAATTATGGTGACCATAGGCTCTTCTTGGTTAAGCTGAGTTTGCCTATGTATGTGCGTCTTGTATTTAGATCTCATACACTTGTCACTCACTGTATCTTGAGTCAAAAGAATGCACATACTCTCTTCTCTGTCAGCATGTTTTATGTCGCTCAAGTTTGAACTTTTTAAATGTTCGTCCATAAGTTCCTTTTGTCCCATTTGATATTTAGCAGGTCTACTATGTTGTTATTGTTTAGTCGTTCAGTGGTGTCTGACTTTTCTCTCAAAAAAGTAGCCCACCATGCTCTTCTCTCCGTGGGATTTCCCAGGCAAGAATACTGGAGTGGGTTGCCATTTCCTTTTCCAGGGGATCTTCCTGACCCAGGGATCAAACCTGTGTCTCTTGCATTGCAGGCTATTCTTTACCCCTGAGCCACTGGCACTTTTAGGGAATTCCCTGGAGGTCCACTGGTTAGGACTCTGTACTTTCACTGCTGATGGCCCCCTAGCTGGGGAACTGAGATTCTGCAAGCTGTGCAGTACAGCCAGAAAAAAAATAAAATGGTGCTTTTGGTTTCCTTAATGTGAAAAAGGAAAAGCTAAATGGAGGTTACTTTTTGCCATCAACCTCCGGAAGAGAACACCTCTCCAACCTCATTGTTTTTAACACACCTGGCCTTCCTTGCTCCATAATTCCTCCATTCACTCCCTTACCAGCTCCACTACATATATTCTTCTAACTGGGTCATTTGTCCTACAGAGTTCAAGAGCCTATAATATCATATAAAAATAGGCTGACAGTTTTATCACCTCTAAATACATAAAGCTGAAAAAACCCCAGAGTGATTGAAATCCTAGGTCATCCTCCACAATGTATCTTACAGAAAAATTCTTGTGACTTACACTTTAAATTGTACATTTTCAAGAATACCTCCCTTGAATAGGTAAGAAAAAGCCATATTTTCTTGAAATACATAGTTTGTTGTTAACATTTTAATTTTCTTTGCTTCAGAGAAGTTGTATGCTATTATCTTGGAAAAGTGATAACCTTGACATGTTTTAGTAGATGGTCTGTTATGAACTTCTATTAAAATTAAAAGAAAACTTTTTTCTTCTTTAGGAAGTCAAAGTACTTAATATCGACCAAAGAAATTTCAAAATACGGTCAATTGGGTAAGTTTTGAAAACCTTTTAAGTTACAGGTCATGTAAAATGTTAAGTTACATTCTTCAGTGTACTCAGTGAGCAGGAAGACAAATAGAAACATTAAATCAGGAGACCAGTTGCATCCCAGTAGGGCTTTGCAGGTTAAGCTTGGTGAACCACCTAGGAGCAAGGGTTCACCTCAGCTTTGGAGGACCAGAAACTTGTCAGAACACAGGTGATTTGGATTGGTAAACAGAATTCCCAATTTGTTGATTTTTAACACAAAAAAATATATCATTGATGAATGGCGCAGATATTTGTGTACAACCTAGCTTGGTGATGAGAAATGCTGATGTAGCCTTTGTTATAGATCCTCACACCTAGACTCCATTCAAACCATTTCCTTCTATTAACAAGTTACTTTTTGCGAATTTGCAAATGCTTGATTAGGGCACTTTGATTGGATTTGGTGTTTTCCAAGTTTCTTCAGTCATCTAATGATATCTTTTAGGTTACTTTTACATAAAACTTATCTTTTCCATTTTATGTTGAATTTTTTACATTTCTTTTGTAAAGTTAGATCTTTTATTATCTCCACCTCCCTTTTTTTTTTAATGAATAAGAAAACAGAGTTTCCAAGGGTAATTAGCTAATAAATAGTTGAACAGAGTTTTAAAACTTTGCTCTTTCTGGTACTGCTACTGCTTTTACTACTGTGATCTTCAGCCACTTTAGTGTTGAAGGGAGAGAGGATACTAATCTCAAGTTCTAGGAGAGTACCCTTCTAGGGCCTTCCAGGTACCCACCATGGCCATTTTTTGAAAAGTCATAAAATACAAACTTAAGTTCAGATCATATTACAGAATCTTGTATTTTGCCTTTATGGTGCTCAGACCTGCTTTCTCCAATGAAGATATTATTTAATTAGTTCCATAGCCCTGAGTACAGTGAAAATTTTGAACTTGCTCCTCTATTATAAGCCAGTATTCATTAAACAATGTTATTGAGAATCTACCTGTGTACACTGTACTATGACATTATCAACCTTGTTGAAAAGGATATTGTACAAGTTCAGTAGCTATATCTGCTGACCATCAAACTGAAATTTATAGCTCCTTTCTCCCTTCATCCCTTTAGACTTTCTAGTATCCTATGTGTGCGTGCTCAGTTGTGTCCAATTCTTTGTGATCCGGTGGTATGAAGCCTGCCAGGCTCCTTTGTCCATGGAATTTTCCATGTAAAATTACTGGGATGGGTTGCCATTTTGTCCTCTGGGGATCTTCCTGACCCAGGGATCGAACCCACATCTCCTGCATCACCTGCATTGGCAGGTGGTTTCTTTAACACTGAGCCACCTGGGAAGCCCATATCTTAACCACATTTATAAGGCTTATCTTAAAACATAGAAAGAGAGAATAAATGTTAAATCCTGGAAATCTTAATCATGTTTTACTTTTTCTTAAGGTGGGGAGAAGAATTCTCATTGTCCAAGCACCCTCAGGTATGTTTTTAAATCCAGCCATTAAAAATATTTTATTTGACCTTACCATAAAAAAGTCAGTATATGTTACAGTTAACTTACTAGTTCTCATAAGTTGGTATAAACTCCTAAATTTTTCCGAGACTATTATGACCTGTCTGGACATGTTATGTTAAAACCCTGCAATTTCTGATTTGGAAGATTAGGAGTCTGCCTTGGGCTGTAGGATTAGGTTTATTACAGAGTATTTTGGGGCCGAAGAGTCCCTTTCCTTTTCAAGCTTTCATATCTTTCCTAGTAATGAAGGTGTTGGATTGGGTGTTCTCTAAACATCCAATGTTTTGGATACTAGAAAGCCTAAGAAAAAGGTGTTCTCTTTTGTGCTTCTCCAGATTCAGTATTTGCCAATGTATTTGGGTTCACTGTGTACTAGTCCAATCTGTTTGAACAGGGGTAGGCAGTATTTTTCCTAATGTTTTGTGCTTTGTGGACTGATAACGATAGAAGAGCAACTATTCTACTCATTTATAGTGCGAAACAGCCATGACAACACCTAAATGAATGAATGTGAATGTGTTCTAGTAAAGTGTTTTTTTCATTCCCCTCCCCTGACTGCTATTTATTTATTTATTTTTTTCCCCCCCTGACTGCTATTTAGAAATGTAAAAGTCATTCTTAGTTTGTGGGGCTGTACAAAAATAGGCAGTAGGCCAATTTGACCTTTAATTTGTAGTTTGCTGACCCCTGTGTTTAGGTCACGGAGACTTAAATTCATTGGAGTTGACGGAGAAATCATGTCGTAGCTTCCATAGCTGTAGTAATGAAGCTTTGTGAAGGAGCCTTGGGGCAGAGAAGCTTAAGAAGAATAGACACCAGTAGAGGTGGAGCATGTAGATTGAAAACAAGTTATTTTTATAATATAAATTACAGCAGCATTTTCTTTTGAATATATTATGTTTGAGATGCCTATTAGATATCTACATGGAGATACTGGATAACAGTAGGCATTTGTCTGTAGGATGGCTGCCATTCAGAGAAGGGAATAGGCTGAGTTCCCAGGGCCCAGGCTAGACAGTACAGAAGAGGAAGCCTTAAGAAGGAGCCCTGACCCAAACAATAGAAAAGCTTTGTGTTCTTGGATTCAGCCTGTTTGGTAAATGTAAAGGCTGATGCCCAGGGGTCAGACAGCTTCTGGTTCAGGTGCAAACAAGCCAGGACTATTGTATGCTCCATCTCCTAAGTGTGGGTAAGTGCTTTTTCTTCTGTGCACATTTGTCTCTCATTTTTACTGGTTCAGTGGATAATACTATACTCATTTGATAACTGATTGTTTCATGTGAGTTTTTCAGAATAACATTAAAAGTTTGCCTTTCTGCCAATTGTTGCTAGAGTTAATGGTTCTGATTTCAATGTTTTTTTTTTTTTCTTTAACCCCAACTTTAGGGAACTGAAGTCAAAGCAATAACATACTCAGCAATGCAGGTCTATAATGAAGAGAAGCCAGAAGTTTTTGTGATCATTGACATTTAAGATACCAAAAAAAAAGAGAGAGAGAGAGAGATTCCTATGAAGAACTGTTTTTTTCTCTTCCTTTTGACAAGATACCATGATATAAACTCTGCATGGAGAATTTACATATGGAGTTTTGCAGAACAGAAATTTTTTTGACTTAAAGTGTGACTTTCAGAAATGAAAAATCAAGGTACAGCCTTGGTCTTTGTTACCCAAATAGTCAAACTTTAAATAATTCTTTAAGTGGCAAGCATGGCTCCTCCTTTGTTAATTCCCCTTTGTAGCAGCAGGTGCACTACACCTTTCCAATGGAATACGAGTCCTCCAGCCTGGTCCCAAGAACGATCATGGATGTAAGCGCAGCCCGAGAGACTCTGAAGCCCCTGTACTCTTACTGAATGCACCTTGGGAAAAATGTAACTTGAGAAATCCTACAACCAGTATTTTGCTTTTCTTCCAATGTGGTTAACACATATATTTTATATATGTACATTAAAAGAGGTTGTGTTTTGGATTGCTGTGGGACAGAGCCCAATCCTGTACTCTAGTTGGTTTTCTTAGATGAAATAATTATATTTGAACAATTGGAAGGCTTTTCTAGAAACAGTCCTGATTTACTTTCACTTTTTTTTAGCACTGATATATTGACACTTTTTCCCATAAGATAAAACCTGATGCATATACAAATGGGCCCTTCTTTCTAACATACAATTTTATATTAAAGCCAATATATTTATACCGTTAGAGAAAAGGAGAATTTTTTTAAGTTTCTTTGGTTTTTAAAAATTACCTAAGCTCTTCATTTCTAACACTACAAGAGGCCAGGAAAACAACTTTAAAATGATCTGAACTTTTTGAAGTAGATAACTTTGAAAAAAATCAAACTGCTTTCACTTGACTTGCAACATTATTCCATTCTCTGTTCATGGATTGAGGTATTCTTCCTTGCAAAGTTGCTATTTATTCACATGTTAGTGAGAAAAGATTACCACTGGGTGGTGTCAAATATTACAATGTGCTGAACCTGATCTAAAAGAAGCTTGTCTGTGAGCTTTCTAAGTGTTCTGTCTGAGCACCACCTTATTTTCCCCAGGGATTTAGCACAAAGACAAGGGCAAGAGCCTACGGTTTGGATAGTTAGCTCTTCAAGGATCACCGAGGTAGCACTCCTTCACCTTTCTTAGTCTCAGGCACATTTTGTATGTTTATTGATTGATTGACCTCCCCAAGCAGCTTTCGGGATCTTAGTTCGTTCTAGCTCAAGTCACTTTTCCACGCTGCCTCTCTAACTACTCAGGGTTCAGGGGTCTCTGAACTTATGCTTCTCTACTTAGCTTTAAAGATTTGGGCTTCCCAGTTGGCTCAGTGGTTGAAAAAAAAGTAGCCTGTCAGTGCAGGTGAAGCAGGAAATCTGGGTTTGATCCCTGGGTCGGGAAGATCCCCTGGAGAAGGAAATGGCAACCCACTCCAATATTCTTGCCTGGGAAATCCCAGAGGAGTCTGACGGGCTACAGTCCATGAGGTCACAAAAGAGTCAGACATGGCTTAGTGACTAAACAACAGCAACAAAGATTTGCAGGCTTTTTCAGTTTTACTTGTTTAATGTTCACTAGTCTAGATAACACATAATACACGTTACTATTCAGTGGTCAGTGGACTAAGTCTCTTAGAGCGCTATCACTTTAGCAGAGACTGCACATCAGCTGCTTGAACACATCTATAAGAATGCTGGAACTGCTGGTCACAAGCTTCGATTCCTAGCCTTTGTTCTGCTTGACCATGAGCCTATTTCCTCATCTGTGTGTGAAAGGTGTGCTTTAGTGATTCCTCAGTTTCTTTCCAATTTTAAATGTCTGTGATCTAGTAATATATTTTAAACAACTGAGCTGAGGAAGAGAAGATACCTGTTATTGGAAGAGTCGTTTAGCCTAAAAGGTCCAAATCACACCATCTCGGCCTGCTACTAGTCAGACAGCCATTGTCATGGGTACAGTGGTGTGGAACGACGGCAGCGACTTCAGGAAAGCGACAGTAGTGATGTGACGACTTCTCACTGATGCTTTGGTTAAGTGGTTACATGTCCCTACAGCCACTCTTGTCAGTTCTCTTCCCACCTTGCTATTACCACGTGGGCTCTGGCAAAGAATGTTCAAGAAGAAAGGGTGGGAAAATAGTTTATACCCTCCTGGAAGTTGGGGAAGTGCCCCATGTAGACTAGAATTCTGCCCATTTCTGAAGTCTGAGCTTAAAAAGGTTTGGGAAATTCCAGATTGAAACTGAGAATTGAGTTTCTTCATCTAAAAAGCCAGGAAATTGGAAAAGATACTCTCTGAAAGCTTACAGAATAAACTTATTCAGAATTTAGTGACTGTAGTAATTGATCAGTTATTAATATTTCCCATATAACACCCTCTGTATTTTGTTTTGTTACCTGTGAAATGAGCAAGTACTTAATGTTGAATTCTGGACATGCAAGAAAGTCCTCTTAGGGCCAACATATTTATTTTGTCATAAACACATATTTAGGTCTTCTCTGTACAAAACATTTTCCCAGATGCTTTTAGTATGTTACCATTTGTCCGTTCAACAATTCTATGCGTAGTATAGTTGCCCTACACTTTACAAATAAAGAGATTAATGACACCTAAAACCCCCTGGCTAGTAGAGGCAGACTGGGGACTTCAGAAACTATTCATTGTCACTATACAATATCCTTTAATATATAACAGATCATATGTTCTATGCTTGTGATCCAGGTGGTAGCCCTGTGAGGTTAGTACAATAACTCTCACTTTTTACATATAAGGAACCACTTCACACTTGGGCAGTGTTTGTAAGGAGGAACTCAAAAATACATGATAGACAACGGCTGTCTCATTTTCTTTGACACGTACTCTAAAAGTTCCAAAACTAAATGTTATTTAGTAATAATATTTTGACAGAAATCTAATACCAGAACAAGACAGTAGAAAATAGTGGATTTATATATATATATTTTTTTCCCACCACCAAATAAATACACCATTGTGTGTTCTATCTCTGGCTCGGGAAGATCCCCTGGAGAAGGGCATGGCAACCCATTCCAGTATCCTTGCCTGGAGAATCCCATGGACAGATGAGCCTGGTGGGGTTACAGTCCACGGGGTTGCAGAGTTGGACACAACTGAAGTGACTTAGCACACGTGTGTTTTTTAAACTACCTCCAAATATAAGCTTGAACATTAGAGTCATGAATTTACATCCTAACCCTGTCACTTGCTAGCTGTATGACTTTGGGAAATTTCTTGAACCTCTCCAAGGCTCAGTTTAACTCTGAAATGGAGATAGTGACCATTCATGGATCAGGTACCCCCAGCTTTGCTACCATAGTGAAGAATCCTATTTTGTGGACTTCCCTGGTAGCGCAGTGGTTAATCCACTTACCAGTGAAGGGGACACAGGTTCAATCTCTGGTCTGGGAAGATTTCACATGCTGTGGGCCAACTACGTCCACAAGCCACAACTACTGAAGCCTGAGCGCTCTAGAGCCTGAGCACAACACACAGGCTTCTCCTGGCACAACAGGCGAAGCTGCCGCAACGAGAAGCCCACGAACTGCAACTAGAGAGTAGCCCCCCTCACCACTAGAGAAAATTCTGCTCAGCAGGGAAGACCCAGCACGGCCAAAAATAAATATTTTTTTAAAAGAATCTTATTTTGTAAAAGAAGAGAAGGGGAGTCATTTTGGAGTTATACTTGGAGCTCTGGCATTTAAACACTGCTGTGGTAACATTTTTATTTTGAGGATTTTGGGAGTGCAGTGGTTAACAGCACTAACGGGCCAAATCACAGGGGTGGAAGTGCTGCTTCCTCCGCTCACTATCTGACTTGGCGCGTGTTGGTGAACCTCTGTGTGCTTTACTTTCCAAACTAACTGGTGAAGGGTTGTTGAGAGAATTAAATGAATGTACACACATAAAGAAGAACGGACTCTTCTGCTAGGACCCTGATGCTAGGAAAGGTTTAGGGCAAGAGGAGAAGGGGACAGCAGAGGATGAGATGGCTGGATGGCATCACCGACTCAATGGACATGAGTTTGAGTAAACTCCAGGAGTTGGTGATGGACAGGGAGGCCTGGCGTGCTGCGGTCCATGGGGTCACAAAGAGTCGGACACGACTGAACGACTGAACTGAGCTAAACTGATACACACAAAGCTCAAGACAGTGCCTGACATATAGTAACGCTAAGTGAGGGCTAGTACTATTACTGGGGCAAGTTTAAATGCTAACAGCCCCCTTACTTTTTCACCTTAATTTTTTTGGAAGTCCAGAACAGAAAAAAGGAGAAAAAAAAACCAAACAACAGTGCTTGATTAGGGGGTGTGACCAGGCTAAGGACAACTCTGGCAGCCAGTGCCATTCCAGAGTCTGATAATTAAGAAGGGAAAACAAAACCACTCCCTTCTGTCTTTCCTCCTGCCTTCTTTTCCGCTTTTAAGTTTTCTTTCTTCCACATCTGAGTTGAGCTGTTTTCAAAAGCTGTGCCTGTCCCTTTAAGCCAAGCTAGGTGCCTTCTACAGGACTCCCTTCCACTGATTGTCCCTTCCTGATTTCCTTGCAGTTTGCAGTATTAACCATTCAAGGGCTGTGTCACAATAAGAAAGATGAATGGATTACAGGGTATCTTTTCTTTTTTATGGATGTTCCCAAGGGCTCGCTCAGCCTTCTCTCAGTACCAGTGCAGTCCATCCAACCAAAGTTCATACCACACATCTCATCAGTTCCTACCTTTGAATTCTTGTCCAGATTCTTTTTGTTTTTATAACACTTTTAAGATATTCACATTCCATACAATTCATCCATTAAACCCAATTCAGTGGCTTTTAGTATAGTCACAGTTGTGCAGCCATCACCATGATCAACTTTAGCACATTCTCCCCCTAAAAAGAAAGTTGCTACCTTTTAAGCAGTAACCCCCCAGATCAGCCCTCCCAGTCCTAGGCAATCACCAAGTAATCTACTTTCTGTTCTGCAAATCT